ACCACTTTGCATGTGCTTGAAGCTCTGTCTCGCGATAGAGAAGTGCCAGCCTTCCTCGATCTCACATTCACTGATATCTCGACTGGATTCTTTGAGAATGCGCGCACAAAGCTGGCCAATTGGTCCAACCGCATTATTTACAAGAAGTTCGACGTCAGCCAGGACCCTGTCAGCCAAGGATTTGCGACGCAGGATTATGATCTGGTGATTGCTTCCAACGTTCTGCACGCAACCCCGAACATGGTCGAGACGATGACGAATGTGCGAAGTCTCTTGAAACCTAAAGGGAAGCTTCTTTTGCTCGAGGCTGGCCAGCACCCGCCGCCCACGCTGCCATTCGCTCTGCTCCCGGGTTGGTGGTATGCCGAGGACCACTACCGTGACCACGAGGAAGGTCCCCTGCTATCTGTGGATCAGTGGAAGCGCTGTCTCGTGGATTCGGGCTTCTCTGGAGTTGATGCCGTTATCCAGGACTACCCCGGCAAGCCCGAGCAGATGCTGAGCGTGATTTGCTCGCATCGAGTCGGTAAACATGCAGATGATTCTCATATCACCGTTTGTGGTCCTTTCCTTGATGACGAGGAAGTGGAATTTGCTCAGCTTGTGGCCGATAATATTTCCGATAGTATCGGTTGCGCCACGGAAGTTAAACCCCTTGGTGAGGTTGTTCCTGCAGATGACCCATACTGCATCTTCATCGACTCCCCCAGCCAGAGTCTTCTGGCAAACGTCGACGCAGACACCTTTGAGGTGCTGAAGAACTTCCTCGTGCACAACACTGGACTGTTGTGGGTGATCCCTGAAGGCGGTACCCCGGAGTCCGAGTTTATCAAGGGAATGTTCCGCACTTTCCGTCTGGAAAACGAGCCCAAGAACTTGCTCTGGTTTGACAATGTGCCTACAACCTCGCAAGGCGCATCCGCCATCACCACGCTCGCGGAGAAGCTGCGTGATCCCGAGGTTGTTGCCAGTGAGGACCAGGATTATGTCTGGCACGACGGCTCGATCCATCTACCTCGGATGCGACAGATGCAAGGAGGCAAGGAGCAGTTCGCTGGCGAGCAGGGCGTTCCCATCCGCACAGTGCAGAACATTTGGCAGGGCGAAGGAGCTCTGGAGATGACCATCGATGCGGCGGGTAGCCCTGACTCTCTTTACTTCCGCCGAACGAGTGACCCGTCGAAGGACTTGGGTGCCGAGGAGGTCGTGGTCGAAGTTGAGGCGGCAGGTGTCAGCTCTCGCGACCTCGATCTCGTCTTGGGCTCAATTCCTTGGTCTCATCTGGGCTTTGACGGAGTCGGTAAGGTTACCAAGACCGGCTCTCGCGTCAACAACCTTGTGGAAGGAGACAAGGTGTTCTTCCTCGCTCTCGAGGGCAGTGCCTTTGCCACGTACAAAAAAATGCCCGCCTGGCATGCTGCTAAAGTGCCATCTAAGATCAGCAGCACTGACGCGGCAAGCCTGCCACTTGCTTACTCCATCGCCGTGCTTGCTCTAATTCGCATTGCCCGACTCCGCAATAACGAGACCGTTCTCATTCACTCGGCGGCCGGAGCAGTAGGCCAAGCCTCTGTTGTTCTTGCTAAGCACCTGGGAGCTCGCATCTTTGCCACCGCTGGTACTCCGGCCAAGAGGGCCTTCCTCCACGAGACATACGGCATTCCCAAGGAGCAGATCTTCTCCAGCCGCACGTCAGAATTCCGGGATGGCATTCTTGTTGCCACGGGAGGAAAGGGCGTCGATGTAATTGTGAACTCTCTCGGCGGAGAACTTCTGCAAGAGACCTGGGCCTTGACGGCGAACTTTGGCCGATTCGTAGAGATTGGTAAAAAGGATGCCCTTCAGAACACAAACCTGCCTATGAAACCCTTTGACCGGAACGTCTCGTTCAGTGGTGTTGATATTCGAGAGCTCTTCGAGCATCGCCCAGAAGAGCTGAAGCAAACTCTCTCAGAGGTGGTCGACTTGCTTCAACGCAACGTCATCGTGCCCCTTCAGCCTGTGACAGCGCTTCCTATCTCCCAGTTCGCGACGGCGCTGCGTACTCTCCGATCTGGTGACAATATTGGAAAGGTCGTTGTCACCTTTGGCAAGGAGGAACGTGTTCTGGCGGAGAGCTCTCTCCAACCAACGCATGTGGAGCTCAACCCCAATGCGACGTATCTTATTACCGGAGGAACTCGCGGTATTGGTCTCTCACTGGCATACTGGATGATTGAGAACGGCGGCCGCAATGTGGTCGTGCTCGGTCGCAGCGGTGCCTCTGGGTCTGAAGTCCAAGAGTTATTAAAGAAATACGAGGGCACTGGAGTTCATGTTAGAGCTCTTGCTTGCGATGTTGGCTCGAAGGAGAGCCTTGTTAGTGTCATGGACGCGATCAAAGATCTTCCCCCGGTCCGTGGTGTGGTGCACAGTGCGCTGCTGCTGAGCGTAAGTCACCTGCTCGATTCAAGCAAATTTCGGTTCTCCAGACTAACTTTGACTCCAGGACAAACTGCTTGAGAACGCAGCATATGAGGACTGGCGCACCATCACCCAGCCTCGAATCCAAGGTGCCTGGAATTTGGATCAGCTGTTCCCAGACCTTGACTTCTTTATCGCTCTTTCTTCGTTCCTTGGAGACACCGGTAACGTCGGACAAAGTATCTACGGCGGTACATCAGTAAGTAACCAGAACCCTTGAAACAACTAGATTCCCCGGCTTTACTAACCTTGTACCCCGTCCTCAGACCTTTTACGATGCCTTCACAAAGCTCCGCAACTCTCGCGGCCAAAACACCGTTTCCATCGCCCTCCCCGTCGTCGTCGACGTGGGATACGTCGCGGACCGCGAACTCACCGCCAGCTTGAAGAGCGCACTCGGCGCCACTCTCACCATGGCCGACATCAAAACGATGGTCAAGGGCGCAGTGATCGGCCAATCCTCCCCCCTGAATCACAACGGACGGGCTACAGCCTTCCAGCTCTCCCTGTCCGGTGAATCCGTCGACAACCTTCCCTGGAAGTACTTCCACCCGGTGCACATCCGGGAGCGCCTCAACGAGGACCACCGCAAGCGCGACACGGCCGAGACCAGCGGTGGCAGCGGTCAGGCGGCTTCCGCTTCGTGGACTACGGCTGCCGACCCATTGACGGGTCTCATTGAGGCCTTGATCACTAAAGTCTCTGCGATGACTATGATCGAACGGGATGAAGTGGAAGCCGACGCGCCTCTTTCATCCTATGGCCTGGACTCTTTGGTGTCTGTTGAATTGAGGAACTGGATTCGACGCGAGACGAGCGTTGAGTTGGCGTTGACGACTATCACGCACGCGGCGAACTTGAGGGCTCTTGCGACGCATATCCTTTCGCAGAGAGAGGCAGCGTCGAAGGCTTAGGTGTCTGATTTTGGAACCTGATTTTGGTTTTGGAATATGGAGTTGGATATGGTTTGAGACTATTTTGTTTGGTTTATTGTTTTTCTATCGGAGTATATGGTAGATATCTTAGGTTATGAATAAGGACATGAGTTTATTCGGATTTGAGATCCCCGCAACACATCGTACTCGTATAATATTCGTTTCTGTCGTATCTTCTGTCATAGCTGCATGTCTCTTGATATCTACGGAGTAGTTTCCATAGCAGATTAGGTAGTGATCGAGCGGAGAGCATGCATGTGTTGGATGATCCCAACCTGGTTGAATGCATAAACATACTAACACAATAATCACCCTCCTAAGCATATATTGCATCATATCAAGTGTTAGCCGATCTTTTACTTTGTTATCACTTAGCATGAAAATGGCAGAAATTGCCAGAAATCCATCTGAAATATGGACATTTGTACAACCATCATGCCGAATCTCTTCTCTATTTTCCATCAGACATAACGTACATATAGAAGACCGGGATATCAATGGCACACTACGCACAAACCCAAGAGAAAATCCAATAGTTCCAGTTTTTAGTCAATGACCCAACAGTAGAAGCAATTGCCGTACAGAACTCTGCTCGATGGCGCGTGGAGATAAAAAACTTAGTGTCAGCAGGATTTGCAACACGGCTCGTCTGATACACACCTCTCTGTTGTATTTCCGTAACATTCCTGATATTTTGCAAGCCCCGTTACCGGCCGGTACGACAATACATAACAAGGACAGGGTTCTACAGACCAACTCTCCGCAGGAGCTCTTAGTCCGAAGGATTCATATCGGATAAAGGCTATAACTACATATTTAATCTCCTCTTAGCCAACACCGCTGAATCAGGGTTTAATTTACTTACACACCCGGAAGGATCCCGACCACATCGTTTAAGATTAATCACAGAGGGTAAGCTGCCCATCGTCAGGTGCATTAGGGCGCCTCATGTCGCATCCTTCTTCGTTTCCTGTTTTGGGCCTTGAATGATGTTTTGGTCACTCTATCTCCGAGGGATTATTGTCTGACTTGCCTTTTTGGGGATTTGTTGTCTTATTTTGTATTCTGCTACGTACACCTACTGTCTTAGTCATGTCTGCTTGTTGGTCACAATTTCTAAGTCCCTGTAAGGGATGGACTTTTTGTTTTGTTTCTCTTGCATGGAGGCCTTTTGGATGCTTCTCCCTAGGCCTAAAGGAAAAGCCTGGCTAAAGGGAGATGGTCCCTATGTTGCTTTTTGTGCGGAAAAACTCTGTTCAAATTCAATGTATAGCATCCTTGGGAATAGAATTTGACCAGGCCGTACTTACTCAGAGACTCACAATAAGAACCTCATTAGTTACTAGAAAGAGATCACGAGTTCGCCATGCCTATTATACCTTGAAAACATGTAGAGGAATACCACGCATACAAAGGAAGTTGATTCCTCATTTTACCCAAATACATCACTTAAACACATAATTCAGCCAACATTACACATAGACCGTTCCATAACATTTCAATAACAATGACAAGAGAAGAGAGGTAGACATGATATTCCATCAAGTGTTGAATATATTCCTCGCAATCTCAAATATGGCCCTTCCCTTCTACGTCTCAGATTTATCCCTCTGTTGGCTTCGGCATTCCAGTACCGAACATGCCAGCCCGAGAGCCTGTCTTCTCATTCAATCCCCACGCCGTGGACGAGGAATCATGCACCGTCGCGCGTCTCATGTCGCGGACGTACTTCCCTGCAAAGGAACCACCACAGGCTCTGTGCATAACGCATGTGTTGTCCTGATTGTTGTTAGTTTGTCAAATTCGTAGCATAGAAAGGGGAAAAATAAAAAAACTCACCCAAATGACCAAATCCCCATTATTCTCCCAATCAACCTGAAACGTATACTTGTCCTTCCCCGCATGTTCCAACAAACGCTCAATCACCGGCTCACTGTCCTCCCTGCTCCATCCATCAATATTATACGCATGCCACGCAATATACAGATTCGTGCGTCCGCTCGGCTCATGCTCCTGCACTAGCTTATGTTTCGCCATCCCAAGCTCCTCAGTCTTCATCTCCTTTAGAAAGTCACAGTCCGGCGCTCCTAGTTTTCGACTGTGCCATAGCGAATGGCACAGCACGTAGTCGTTTATCTGGGCCTTCGTGGAGTCATCGAGCTCCGCGTAGGCTGTGCGGGTGTCTGCGAACGCGGTGCCCCCGCCTGTGCCCTTTGGTGGGAGTTGGTGCGCGCGAAGGAGGGAGAACCCGGCGCGCCGGGGGTTGTAGGAGCAGTCGACGTGGAATAGGCCGTTGCCGAGACCCATTTGGTGGCGGAGACTGCTCGTGGGGACGACGTTGCCGTCGGCTTCGATGTTGCCGACGTCCGTGAGCTGGGTGTATGGGTCTAGGCGGTATTTCTGGCCTGGTTTGATCCAGGTCGTCGAGTCGTCCAGGTCGCCCAATTGGGAGGCGAAGGCGACGTGGCCGGCGTCGTCGAGTTGCGTGCCCCGGAAGACGAGGAAGCCGTATTTGGCCATGCCGGATTTGATGGCGTCAATGGTTGACGGGGACACGGGCTTGGAGAAGTCGACGCCTGAGCATTCGGCGCCGAAAGTGGGATGGAGGGGGTGGAAGTTTGGGGAAGAAGAATCGTTGATGGAGCCCATTTTGGTGAGGCTTTGATAGACTAGTTCTAGTGAGGACTGTATATCGTAGGGTGCCGTGTTGGTAGGATGTGGAAAATGTGATCAGTAGGAATATATAGAGTGATTGAGCCAAGACGGCGGACGAGATTTATACGTTAAAACTAATATTACTACGTAGAAGTTGACTAAGACTTATTGAAGCATGGCCACCCCGGGGACATCAAGTCCGATAGGATAGGAATAATCCAACGTTGAATCCTGATGACTTGGGAGCAAACTAGGTTGTCAAGTCAGGTCAAGTCAGACTATTGAAATAGTATCAGAGAGACCGAAGCATGATGGAAAATAACAGACGGGTCTTTATTAAACCCCTTGGATGTTGAACAATAACCATTACCAGGATTTGAACAGATTCATTACAACCTGGCGGAATTAAAAGGCCTATTTCCAAGTTCTCACACTCTAGGCCACCAGCTAGAACAGGTTTTGTATTAGCAAGTATGACGCGAGAGTATAGAGATGCAGTTACCAAAAGAACACTACTCCAGCATCTCGGATTCTCCAAAATACGTCAAGTCATACGAACCCGAACTTCGAAACACAATTAACAATGCAATATCGGACATCAATTCTCTCCGTCCTCCGTTGAGCAATATCCCAGCACCTCACCTAATATACGCAGTAAGCGGCCAAGCCGGCATACCAGACCCGACCTATCACCAACCCTAATCAAAGCAGCTTGTGTCGGTTCCTCGAGACGAGTTCAAAAGAAGAACTAATGATGAGACCGTGCGTAAGCCGCTGACGCAAAGGCCGAATGAAACAATTCTAAGTATAGCTAGTATGGGTATATTTTCTTAGTTCGGGAGTGATCTACCCGGGCGGACAGCCACATGGTAAGCCGGAGGGGGCGGAGGGATTCATGTCCGATTTGAAGGATGATATACAAGTCGTATACGGGGTGGGGTGTTTTGGAATTTTGGGGAATTTGAGTATATACCGCATACGCAGTAGGTGGGTGTTAGCTGATATCTGGAAATCTGACGGTGGTGGGTGCATTTAGGGAACTAATAATGGTAAGATTCACGATCGAGCAAATCGGACTCGCTCGTACAGCACGTACCTCGATCCATGCGTGAATGAAAATTGCAAAATCACTGAGTAGCGCCACCGGAAGTAAGATGTAAGATGGATGGGGATAATCTCAGATCCCCGCCAACTAGCGTGCATCACTATACACCCGAACTCCATAGGCTGTACAGACAGCATCCGAATGTCTCGATCCCTCAGGACTTCTCAGTGGAACCGCTTTAAGCGCTCTGAATGGCCCCGGGTCCCGAGGCCCCCGGAGAATGAAACCGTTGGGGGCGGGGAAGAGCCGACTTTAGCGTCGCTCGGGGCTTACGGGGGAGACGGACTTTGTGGATTCTCGTCCGGAGGCGCTAGGATTCAACTTTCTTGCTGCAGTGAGATTGATTCACGGTGGCGTCTTGGCGTGGCTTTTAACGATTTCGGTTTTAGTTTGTGAATAGTTAGAGTCGATGGATGGGACTTTGGGGTATGTGGATGTGGAGTTGTTCAGTCGAACGGGACTAGAGTTCAGGTACGAATATTTTCCTTTTCTTCTTCTAAACTGTCAGGAAATGAAATGCTGTCATGCTTTTTCGGTTTTGTTATTTTCAATCTGTCTTGGGCTTGGCCGTGGCAGTACGACTGTCTTTAATGGCTGATTATTCTGCGAGGCAAGTTAATGCTAGAAACTATGTTACCTTTTCACAGCTACTGGATTTTCTCTCAAATGATGCATAGATCCGCTAAGATGCAAAGTGACTTTTATTTTGCGTTTCCGCTTGCTTTTGTCTATGATCTATAATCTATAATACATGTTCGCATACTGCGCGGTGCAGTTTGTCAATGACACTCACTCGGTTCCAAACCATGGAGTGAAGCCTTCGAAGTCCCGCGACTCATCCGACGAGAAACTCAAGTGAGAATCCTCGAATATGGATGACCAGTCGTGGGTAAATTTGATTTTGAACGGACTGGGTCTGATCCAGACGTACACCCGTGCTGGCGAGACCTCGGCACGGCCAGCGCGTCGCACGCAGCGGGTGTTTCAACGGTACCTTTCAACGAAAACCGACGACCTTCAATCCTCATCAATGGCCGCAACCAACGCATCCATCGCTGAACTGTGCGTTGACGCATCAATCGCACTGACAGGTCCAGCCCAGTTGATTCCGAACTGGTTCAGATCATCGCGGTTATTGTCCCAGATGCTGTCGGCGCAGGCACGAATCACCTTCTCGTATTCGTCGTCCGGCGCGATGGAGTGCAAAAGCTTCAGGTTCCGAATTAAAATGCCCTTGAATTGTGTGGCGTTGGCGTCGCAGTCCGGTTCACATGATTCACGAATCACATAGTTGTCGTCGGCGAGCTGGTTGATCGTCGCCTTGGCGATCTTTTCGGCCATTCCAAGGTACGAGGAGTTGGATGAGTTTGAGACTGAGCGGTGCAGTTCAGCAAGCCCGCCGATTATGACGCCTTGATTGTAGGTCCAACTGTGGTTCTTGTTAACCTTGTTTTGGCTTCGAGATTGAGTGCAAGCGTGGCGTCGTGCCAGAAAGTTTAGTGAAACTTACATTGTGTCGCCGTTGTTGGCGCAGTCGTTTGTGAGTCCATCGTTCACGGTATAGTTCTCGTTAATCATACCGCTGGCGTTGAACCAGTTCCACTGACGGCGGGCCCAGTCCACATAGTACTGCTTGTCGGAGGCGCGGTTGGCCAGGTGTGCCGCGACGGAGAAGAACAACTCGTTGGTGACAGCGTTGACATAAACATGTGAATAATCCGAGTCGATTCCTCCGTTCCCGCACTTGGAGGGCCAAGTGTTGCTCTGCAGAAATGCCCATCAGCCATCACCGCCTCAACAGTCCGGGAAGATGCAAGGGGGAGGAGTCAAACTTACCAGTCGGTCAAAGATGCCAATCGCCAAGTCCAAGTATTCATCGTCTTCCGTGACATCATACGCCGCGATCCACGCAAGCGCCCACCACTGGTCGTCGTCATAAGAGCCGTCCATCCACTGATAGGCGTTTGGCGATCCGGCCTGCGTCTGGTTGGTAATGTTGTAGTATTCGTCGCCGCTGCGCTCGGGAATAGGGTTCGAAATCGTGGCGACCTTAAATGTGGTCTCGAGCACGCCGACCACTGCGTCGTTCACCGACTCGTCCGCCAGCGCGAGGTCGGCCAGCGTCGTTAGGCAATTCGCACCATTCCACCATCCGCAGGTATTCCAGATCCCGCTGGTGCCGTTATACCACGTTTGCAGCACGTCCATTGCGATGTGAGCTCTTGACGTCGCATTTTGTGCCGAGGCCCCCGTGGAGAAAAGCAAGGGGGTGCTGACAGCAGCAGCCAGTAACGTGGTAAATGGTGACAGAGACATGGCGGAGAAAAATATAAGGTCTGTTTGTTCTACGAGAAGTCCGTCAGGACGGCGGCCCCCTGAGAGTTTTTGTACCCCCGAGAGCTCCTCGCGTGAGGACCGCGAAAAAAGGGATTTGCCATTGTGGTCCCTTGAAACCAGTGGTGCATGAGCTGCGAGATTCTAGAATTCCGGATGGTCATATCGGCCTATCACATTCCTGATTCTGCAGCAGGTCCATGTTTGAGGGCGGCTACGGATCTCCACCGGTCACTTGCCGATTGTCGCTGGCCCTGCCCTATTAGGCGGCAGTGGAAAATCCCAACTGCCAAGTTTGGCCCTGAGAAAAAGAAAAAATGTGTCGACAATATGCGTTGTTCCTGTCAGGGGTGGACCAATCATGATCACAGCACGAGAAAAGAACCGTTGATAGTCGGTCAACGGAACTGCGAGGTTTTTTCCCCGGGTCGGTAAATCTTCCCCTTGCCACTGTGGCCGACGATCCGATTTTTCGGTGTGTGCGAGAGCGGCGGGAGATCAGCCTTGAGACTGGTAATTTTGGACCATCAGAGGGGCCAGAGGGGCCGGATTATGTGTCAACTGGGTCAAATCGATGGATAAGATGGGACACATGCGACTGAGGATGTATCAAGCCCGGGAAGATGTGCTGTCATGGAGCACAGCCTAGTGTTGGACAGCTATCTGAGACAATGCCAAGACCAGCGACAGAGGAAAAGATCTGTACCGTTCAACGTACCGAACCGTGGTTCTTGGAAGTCTAATCGCGCTTCAATATTCGGACAGGGCTGGTTCAAAACCTCACGCCTAGATTTTGCTCCCCCCGATAAACTTTGTGGTGCCTGGATGCCGCGTAAATTGCCGTTGCCGCCATTCCGAGCTCCGTGTGTGACTTTCTGTTGGAAATCCATGCTGAACAAACCTTGGAATATGGTATGCCGGTAAAAACATTATCATTCTGTCATTCATTCCTGGATTTTCAGAAGACACCTTCAATCAAACTATTCCAGGAAAGCAATGGCACATAATATCTTACCAACATCTCATAGTAAGGGGCCGTGTTTCATATTTAACACCAACAACATTGTAAAGAATCCTTCTTGCTCCTGGGTTTATTGGGATAATCATAAGGCGTCAAGCTGACAGATGATTGTTTCGATAAATTTGGATGGGTGTTATTGATGACCGAGATGGATGACTGAAAAATCGAAGGTAGAATGCATGCGTCTTGGCTGTTCGGCATATGGGAGTTCCCATCAAGCAACGCCAATATAGCTGTTGCGCTGAATATTCCGGTGTAGTTGCAGAATAGAATAAAAATAAGAAAAGAGAATGATGGTCAAAATTCAGGCGGCAAGCATCGAGAACCAGAATTAGTTTGAACCCATTACACTTCGTAGACATATTTATCCCAATTCAGTCCCTCCCGCTGTGACCGCACTCAGTAGCAAGTATTGATATAAGGATACATGGCTGGCTATTGTGATGATTTAATGAAGGAAAACAACAAATTAGGATGATCATGAAGGTGGTTGCAGAAGAAGAGGTCTTCCCTGGCAGGGACATGGAGGGATGCTTGGCATACTGCCTCAGGCATTCAAGTCTCAACAGCAAACATTCTTGTTAATCTTTTTAAACTTGTTGAATATTTGGGCTATACACTTGGTCTGCTGTGCAGCTGAATTTTTGGAGAAGACTGATATATTTGTTTATCCATATATTGAGCACGAGACTGGTTTCCTCCGATACAAGTTTCATGCCACTGTCTATCGTTTTCTGTCTTGAATTCGCTAGTGAGATTCCATTCGAAGTAGATGACGCACAAGGGGGAAAATAAATGGGAAAGATGTCAGAGAAAATACTTCTGGTTCTAATTGCTGGTTTCATCCAATAATTGTGGTCAATCTCGTGGTGCTCCCTTGGTGTCTTGATATAAAGCTTAATCATGGTCTCAAAAACTAACTTGAGTAAATAATCATTAACCAATGAGTGCACCGTGATGACCAGAAGCGTTTGGCCAAAATGGTTAGTTGTTATAGTAGTAAACTGCAGCTAAATAGGTACATAGAGCTTTGTACAGGTGACTTCTGGTCTGTGAATGCTTAAAATTGACGAAGCTGGTAACCAGGATGCCCTTCAAACCTTCTCAAATGTGGCACATGATGTTGAAGTTGAGACTATCACCTGTTTAAATTGTATATATATGGTAGACTCAACTCCAACGCCCCAATCCAGTGCAAGCAATGAATGCATCATTCTGCTGTCGCATTGGCTGCCTTGCCAAATTGGAAGCGACTCGATCAGTCTGAAATGTGGATCAACCCGCCTCCCCAGCAAGGGTCAACGCCGGAGTGGGCAGCGACTCACTCAGCTCTTTGTGGCCATGTACCTTAGAAGGCTTATCCAGTCCGTTCTCTACAAACCCTCCTCCCTCCCGCCAAAATTACTCCCAACGGCAAATCTGGTTGAGGAAGAGCACACCCCCCATTATAAGCCTCAGCACTTTTATCCTGTACGTCTTTATGAGATACTCAGTAATCGATACCAAATCGCCGCCAAAATAGGCTGGGGAACAAGTTCGACAGTATGGCTAGCACGCGATCTCCATCAGTATGTAAAAATTATCTAATAGTATATTCAAGCCTTGTCTCACTATTTCATAGGTGGCGATGGCTTCCGCTCCGATATGTGGCCATCAAAGTTAACGCAACCAGTTATGCATCTCAAGAGTCTGCGGAGAAGGAGCTGCGCATTACTGAGAATATAACTAGAGCGAATCCCCAGCATCAAGGCCGCAACTTTGTCACCATCTTGTTAGACTCGTTTCGTGTTGCTAGTCCGGGCGGCAATCATGTTTGCATGGTCTTCGATGCGCTTTGTGAACCCCTATAAATGCCAAAGCGTCGTTTCGAAGGAAACACAATCCCCATTGACGTTTTGAAACCGGTGTCTAAACTCATACTAGAAGGATTACGGTATCTCCACACAGAATGCCATGTTATTCACACAGGTAGGTAGCAACCGATCGACCCGCTTCAAGGATCGGTCACAGTTAACAGACAAACAAGATCTAAAGTCCGATAACATCTTATAGTCCCTACGCAACCCGTCTATCCTGGAGTCTGTCGCACAGGATGAGATGAACAATCCCTCTCCACGAAAACAACTGGACGATCGGGACATATACTTATCCCGAAATTACTGGGGACTGTCGCCCAACGAACTGGGGAGAGCGGTAATAACCGACTTTTGGGCTTGCTGTGTGCGGTGACGGCCCTCCGAACAGCCACCCCATCTAGCTAGAGGAATATCGGGCCCCGGATAGTCTGTCAGCTTTGGGAACTGTTCTATGGCCGTGGACCCTTCGACACGCCACCGGACTCGCGCGGCTCAGGCTCTACAGACGAAGTGCATCTGGGCCAAATAATTTCTCTCCTGGGGCCTCCTCCACTTGATCTTCTCGACCGGGGAAAAGAAACGTCTCGGTATTTTGACGATAAAGGTATGCTGGTTGTGTCCCAACTAGACGTAGCTAACTGATTTGAAGGACAATTCAAAAACCCGAGCTTATTGGAAAAAAAGACCTGGTCTCGATGGCTAAAGAGATTGATAGTGAGGGCGATATGCCCCAATTTGTAGACTTTACTTCTAGAATGCTACGCTGGAGACCCGAAGACCGGGCCACGGCGGAGAGCTGCTTTCCCACCCATGGTTCCCGTAAAAGAGACCTGTGAATGGGTGAAGGGGAGGGGATAATGTGTACAGTAAATAGAATCTCTTCACTTAGGAAAACTGGCTGATCAGGCATTCCTTTCTAGACCATGATCCAAGTAGACTAAGCCTTGGTAGGGCAGCGACTAGTGAAGGCCTCGCATGGTTAGCACCTGACCGAAAAGGAAGGAACTCTGCGGGGTGGACCGTGTCGGTGACGTCATTTCTCCCGAGGTTGAAGTCCGGCAGCCTCACGTCTCCCATTTTCTCCTGCAATCATTGCACCTTTGCGAGGTCACGATGAATGACAATGGCTCCTTCCACGGTAGCCATTGTAGTTTCCCCGAAGCATACACATTGCAGTGCACGTGGGTAGCTCTTGGCAACTGCCCTTCTGCTGCCCCACAGACTGGCCTGCCGATCCTCAATCTTCACCGGTTCCTTCCCATGCGAGACTTTTCAGAGTTCGCCAAAACAGAATCTTGGCCGTGTCGCTACATCCCCCGCATTGTCATTTCCATTACCCTCGGTTGTCTCCCGCCATCCGAACAGTCGTCTGGGAAGCCTCCATGCCCGTCGCTTTGTGATCACGTGTAGGACTGAAAACGACGGGCGGAGAAGGTCCGCCTGCAGCTCGGGATTTTCGGGACGCAGATTCCAGTGCTGCTGGTCGCCGAAACACCCCTCGCCATACAGCGTCACAGTGTCAACATGACCTCGCGTACCAGCTCGAGTGAATCGGCTGATTCGCAGTGGTCCCATCAAGACCCGCCCGATCCAAAGAAGGAGCCCAAGAATGGCCTGGGGACGAGGATCAAAAATGGTTGGGCCAGGCTGGAGTTGGACATCCCGACCGTGACATTGATGATGAAGTGAGTGCCCTTGCATCCAACGATGCGGAGAATTCAGGACTAATCACGCTGGCAGAGGCGCGATTCCGCCAACGATAGCTTTAGCGGCGTAAGACGAAATCTATCTGTCCGGCATCGGACTTTGACCCAGTGTGGGATATGTACTAACGTGGACAAGCTACCAAGCCGATTCGTTTGCCTCGCGTTTTAACACGGTCGGATACCTCGTGGCCATCGTGTCGGTGCTAGGTTTTGCCATCATGCCTCGCGCCAAGTTCATCCAGATGATGATTCTCGATGTCTTGGCAGTCTGCACCGCCTCCGCCGTGGCTCTGCTGATGATGTATTCGAGCGTGAAAGCTCGCGAACATACCGACCCGTCTTCCATTCCCACTTCCTCCAGCTCGAACATCGTGACGAACGGGAGTGGTGGCATCACTGCGACGCCGTATAATTCGTCGGCGTCGGTGGTCAGCGGCGTCTGGCTGTTTTTCGAGATATACCTCGTCCACTCGTTCCGTGCCAAGTACCAGCAGTTTCAATTTCCCGTGATTATCTACTCGATTGTTGCCAATGTGACGTTTGTGTACGCTCCACGGTTGCCGACAATGGCCGCCTCCATTAGCATGGTCAAAAAACTACTCGAGGCATGTCTTACCGGACTAGCCTTCTCGACAGGCACCTGTCTTTTTATCTTCCCCGTCACGTCGAGGAAAGTAGTCTTCAAGGAAATGGCAGGCTACGTCGGAGGTCTGCGTGCGGCTCTAAATGCGCACACGGCTTATTTCGGCACGCTTGAACGGGATGATATGTTTGGACGTGCGGAGACGTACGACTCTCACGTGGAAAAGATCACAGAGAAGGGCAAGGTTTACAGTCCCGAGGCTGAGGCCATTCGGGAGGCCGTTCGAAAACTCACCGATCTCCATGCCAAGCTTCATGCTGATTTGACCTTCGCAAAGCGAGAGATGGCGATCGGAAACCTGGGGCCCGACGACCTGCAAGCTATCTTTAGGCACCTGCGGCAAATCATGATTCCAATCGTCGGACTTAGCTTTGTCGTCGATATCTTCCAGCGCCTGTCGGATTATAACAAGTGGAACCAGCCAATCGATCCTATGGGAGCTGAACCGCCGGACGTCATCCGCCATCGGGTTGTGCAGGAATGGAACGATATAATGAGAGCAGTTCATGATCCATTTGATTCAATGATTCACACAATTGACGAGGGTCTCCAGCACGCTTTGTTTGCGCTCAAACTGGCTAAACCACCCAAGAAAACCGCTACAGATCTGGCGAACAGCTCCCCAGACGTGGAGGCTGGCCCTGGTCCCGGCGACAAAGAATTTGCCGCATATTTTGAAAGAAAGGTGCGCGAATTTAAGGTGGCCAAGAAAATTGCTCTGAGAACCTGGAGCGAAGAAAAGGGGATCAAGTTACCTGCCGACTTCTTTGATCGGCCGTCATCCGCAAATTTGAATGTAGACGACGTTCCTAAGGACGAATACGGAATTGGCCGCGATCGAAGTAGGCGACAACTTTACCTATTCCTTTATGTAAGTTTTGCTTGATGTGGAAGAAATCATTTGCAACGCTAACTTTCTTCACAGATGGAACAACTGCTCAATTCCGCTGGTCAGGTCGTATTGGAATTCGTCCGTTTTGCAGACGAGAGAGTCGAAAGTGGAAAGCTTTCCAGGAAGCATCTGATAATCCCAGGCTGGAAGCGTGTGCAGAAATGGGGACTCAGCGTGTTCAAGGCAGATGATTCCCACGAAGACGACAACATGGGTGACATGCACACTCAGAACAACATATTACAGCTCGGAGAGGCCTACAGGCATCGAAGGGATCCAGAGCATCTTCCCTCAGATACCGTATGGGAAAAGCTTGGGGACAAAATCAGAGTTATTCCTTCGATCTTGCGGTCATCTGAGTCTGCGTACGGTTTTCGAGTAGCCTGTGCGACCATGACTATTGCAGTGGTGGCTTTCATCCATGACACGCAGACCTTTTTCATCAAGCAGCGCTTCGTGTGGGCTATGGTCATGGTCAACCTCAGCATGTCTCCGACCTCCGGTCAAAGCATCTTTGGATTTGTCCTTCGAATTCTGGGGACAGTTTTGGCTATGATACTCAGTTTCTTGTGTTGGTTCATACCTGGCAAGAAGACGCCCGGTATCATCGTCTTTTTCTTCATATTCGTATCCATCATGTTCTATATTCCGATCAAGATGTTCCGGTTTCGCATCATTGGCATTATTACTATCATATCCACGTCCATGATCGTTGGATACGAGCTCCAGGTCCGCAAGGTCGGCGAGCAGGTTGCAACGTCTAATGGACAGCCATATTACCCCATTCAGCTTCTTGCGCCTTATCGCCTGGCGACCGTGACCGGCGGTATTGCGGTGTCGTTCTTTTGGACCTTCTTCCCGTATCCTATCTCGGAACACTCCGTCCTGCGTCAGAGTTTAGGGGCCTCGCTTTATCTTCTGGCAAATTATTATTCGATCATCCATGAAACAGTCAATGCTCGCATGCGTGGTGACGAGGGCGACGTCGCGTTGAAGACCTCGTCCGGGCGTCGGCTTTTGAAGGCCCGTAACAAGGTCTTTTCTAAGCAGATGCTTATGTTGACTGGTTTACGAACTTATTCCGAGTTTTTAAAATGGGAAGTGCCGATCGGGGGTCGGTTTCCCAAGAAGCAATATGATTCTATCATATCATGCATAGAAAGGTATGCCTTGGTCGATTTCGTTCCGTGTTCTGCTTCTACGTCTTTTTGGCTAACCCTAAGCAGTATTGTCAGTTATCTGAGTCTTCTGGGGTACGCGTCGGACACTCTCTTGCAGCTAGGTGATGATCCCGAAGACAGCAACTCTGTCTGGCTTCACGATTTCCGAAGACTGGTGGCCAGCGCACGTATCACGACCCATGAGATTACCTCTGTGTTATGCCTTCTATCAGCCAGCATCACCAATCGACAACCGCTGCCACCATACCTCAAGACACCCCGACCTTATAGCTTCTCCAAGAGACTCGAAGCTCTTGACAGTGACATTCTCAGTCTGCGACACATCGCGGAGCCTGGGTTCGCAACTTTTGCCGTGCTTCAGATTTCGACTCGTTGCATTGTGGGCGATGTAGATAGACTCATGCGGTAGGTGTCCTATCTGTCACTTGAAGTAACCCTGACTGACGGAATTTAGCGATGTAAAAACCTTGGTCGGAGAACTCGACTTTTCGTTCCATGCTGTGAGCACGGCGCACAGTGCCAAGTCGTCGGCTGATGTCTCGCGCTTTTCGAGGGCGACCGATCGCGATAAATTAGAGTAGCCACTGACGCGGTATAGACATACGTAGTACAGTGCTTATACCCACCGTATACAATAAAAAGCAAAGATAACTGTTCACAGTGTTCCTGCATCTCCTGTCTTGCATATGTAGAGTCGCAGATGAGCAGCTGACAGAAGCACCGACAACCCCGCTCTCTCATCACGCACGTCACTTGTTTTCTTCTCTTCTTCTTTTTTCCTTCCACACTTTCATCCCTTTCTCCTGCATTTTCATCCCAGAAATAACCAAGTCGCAAAATGCAGGAATATCACCTTGACGCCTCCATTCTCACCCAAGCTGCTACTAAAACGATCATCATCACTGGCGCAGCCAATGGCATCGGCGCCGCAACAGCGACTTTGTTTAACGCGCGCGGGGCTAACGTAGTCATTTCTGACTTGGAACCATGTCGTGAGAAGGCCAAGTCTCTCATTCAGTCCTTCGACCATCCCGACCGCGCAGTCTTCATCTCAGCGGATATTCTCAACTGGACTGACATGACCACGCTATTCAAACAGGCTGCGCAGAAATTTGGATTGGTCGACATCGTAATCGCTAATGCCGGAACTATGGAATCTAGCCCGGTCCTAGACCTGAATGATGTTGACGGCGAGGGAAATCTGAGAGAGTCAGCCGAGGGATTTAGGGTGATTGACATCAATCTAAAAGGGACATTGAATAGTATGAATCTTCATCCCTTCAGGCACTCCTCATCACATCAATAGCTAGCACGACAAGTCGACTAATCACCGAAGAGAAAGCCCTCCGCCTCGCAATGCATCACATGAAATCCAATAGAACGCCCGGTTCGATCGTGCTATTAGCGTCCACATCTGGCCATTTCGGTGGTACGGGGGTTGCAGCCTACGTGGCCTCCAAACACGGCGTCATCGGGCTTCTGCGAGCTTCTCAGCAGACAGCAGAAAAGCACAGGATCCGAGTCAATGCCGTCGCGCCTTTTTTCACGCCGACACACATCACGGCTGGGTTTGCGCAGAAGTGGAAAGAGGCTGGCTTGGATGCGAACACGCCGCAGGGCGTGGCGGAGGCGATTGCGAATATCGCGGTGGATGAGGGGGTCAGGGGAGAGTGTATTCTTGTAAGCTGCTTATCAGTTCCTTACCACTTTATGGAGAAGTTGACCAGCTCAGGTCGCGGGAAAGTATCTCCGGCAGATGGAGTCCACCAGAGCGCGGCTCCTTCCTGACTGGTTGGGCCAGGACGTGGCCGCGTTCATGGGCCGAGCCATGCAGTTCTTCGTGGACATCGGTGGCTATGTCTTACCTCAATGGCGCAGCTGAATCACACATCGGATCTGACATAAGTGTTTATTGGTGCTGATCATCTCTTAATGATAAATGTGTCACTTCCCATGAAGCAGATCTGACGGTGATCATCCACATGCAGTGGTTCACTATCCGATCATCAATTTCAATGCGGAGTACGGAGTACAAGGTCTGATAGAGCATATCTGCAACACCGCCACTCATGCAAGGGGTAACCCCCATGATCCGCGTCATTCATTACTCTACTGGTCAACTTATTTCTTGAGGTCTGCATAACTTGGGACCTGCGTTGGCATTTCAGCATCCCACTGGACCTATCATCCCTGTGGGAGACCAAACGACGATACAGAATGGAATGTACCGAGCCCGCTTACTCCCAAAATTTACGGTGATGACGACTTCCCCCGGGTGATTTGCTCAACTATAAAATTCATAATGAGGCGGGTTCACACCTTCTGCGACCTGCGGTGCTGTATCATCCCTTGTGAGTAGGTCGCAGGCAGCCCAACAATATGGATGACCCCCTTTTTGGCATCAATAGCTTTTCCATCATCCCTTGCGCGACGGAATCACCTCTTCCACTCTAGTGACTTGTGTCCATAGAGCAAGAACCCTTAACTTCACCAAGGTGACAGGTATATTTAGCTCTCTTCAGAAGGTATGTGTGATTTCAGACTTTTTCCAATCTTTTATTAAAGTCACCGATGCTGTACAACCGGATTGAATTGCGCCGCTTTGTCCTGCCCTCCGCAATTCCGCCCCATTTATGACGCTGCAGTGTCCAATCTTCCCCCCTGTTATGGTATTCATATCGCTTTCGAGGTTAACGTTGAACAAATGAAATGGGTAGAGGAATAGAATTAGTCGAAGTCGTCGGTGCAAAATCTGACAATGACAACAAAGCTGGTTCCAGGACCGCCCCTCGCACTAGCATTCAATGCTTCGGCGACGAATATAATAATATTAATAGCCCACACGCCACATCATTTGCGCACGCCAACGGCCCGGATCTAGAATGTTGTCACCAAGAAAAGCCGGGACTGGAAGTGGGCTGGAAACCGGGCGTTCCAGAATATCTTTTTATGACTTGTATTTGCATCCTAGTGGCGATGGATGCATTCAACGCCATGGTGGTTATTCCTTTGGTTCCTGTAAGTCTTCAATTGCAGCTCGGGCAGGCCAAAAGCCTGGCACAGCTACAGAGCTAGCCACCCACTAACGTGCATGTTTTCTTTCCAAACAGGCATTGGCCAGTGATCTAGGTCAGCCCCTCGAAAATGTCCTATGGATCAATACTTCCTATTTTCTTGCCAATGCAGCAAGTCAAACGATCTCATCTATGCTGGCGGATGTATTCGGACACGGGCCAATCCTTCTTTCTGCAGTGGTGCTCGCAACAATCGGAACAGGTGTCTGCGGGGGTGCGTTCAACTTGGCCGGTTTGATCGCCGGTCGATCACTCCAGGGAACAGGTGGGGGTGGGATTTTGGCTGCGTCGCTTCTGATCATCACGAACTCGATACCCAAGTACCATCATCTCGAGTTCTCGAACTATGTTTTTCGTGCGCAGGTGACGGGATCTATCGTTGGCGCCATTCTGGGTGGACTTTTTGGCGATTTTGCGACGACAATATGGCTATTCTATTCCAGCTTTGTTTTCTGTGCTCTAGGAATGCTTGTCGTTCCTTTCGCTGTGGACTTGCGAGGAGGCGAACAGGGCAAGACGGGCTATATATGCAAACTGAGCCGGACAGACTGGCTGGGTTCTCTGCTCATCCTGCTAGGAGTTGGTTGTCTATTGATTGGGATTAGTTGGGGTGGCACACGCTTCGCATGGGATACAGCAGCCACATTGGCGCCGATATGTGTGGGCGCAAGCCTGCTGCTCGTCTTGGTCGTGTACGAGCGATTCTGGACGGTGCATCCGTTTTTCAGCTCCGCCATGTTCAAGACGCTCTCGACGACAATGATACACATTAGTGGATTTATCCACGGACTCATCGTTCGTCTTCCCCGGACTAAACGTCCACACAAGCAACCTTCACATGGGTATAGCTAATCAAGATACAGATATCAGCCCACCTCCACTTCCTACCCCTCTATCTCATCTTTGTCAAATACCTCCCCCACGCCCTCACCGGCCTAGGGCTCGTAGCCCTCGTCGCCCTTACCCTCCCCATCCTCATTCTCGTCCAAAAACTCCGCCTCCTCTCCCACCAACCAAACTTAAACCCCTGGATCCTGCGCCTCGGCTGGGCCCTCGCCACCATCTCAACCGGCTGCCTCACAATCCTCGATTTCAACACCCCGACCCCCGCTTGGGTCATTCTATTCCTCATCTGCGGCCTCTCCCACGCCCTCCTCACCCACTCTTTCATCCGATGCATATTCACCCGCCCCTTCGACCCCGACAATGACTCGGAGTCCGACTCCGACACAGACCCTTTCCCCAAGGGCTACGCTAAGCGCAATATTCCGCCCATACTATTACACTCCATCCTGAGGACATGGGGCATGTGCATTGCCATCCCTATCAGCGGGACCATCATGCTCAATCAGTTGTTCTGGGACGTGGAAAGGCGGTTCCCGTTTCCTGGGGAGGTTTCGTTTATGGTTGAATTCGGGGCGTTGATGCCAGGTGGTGAGAGAGATGATTACGTTGATGGGTTTCGGGTCCTCTGGCCGGTTTTTACAGGTGTTGCGGCGCTGGGGGCCGTGTTGGGGGGTGTTTGGGGGAGGGTGAGGTAGTTTTCTGTTGTCTTTGCTTGTTGGCTATAAAGTGATTTGTGGATTAGAAATTGAATTCAGAGTTTTGTTAAACACCTTCCGTTTGAATTCATGGTTTTTCTTTGGAATCAAAGGCTGCAAAAGCCATGCTCAGTGAAAGATATCAATCAGATCCGGATGAATATTGGAATACCGTCGCCTTGCTATATTTGTATCTTGAGAGCCATCCATCCTCTTAAGGTTTTCTAGGAGCATAAGAGGTAGGGAGCTTATGCGATTTCCCAGCGTTGTAGTTGAGTACTTGTCAGGCAGTACGGCACCAAAGCACCAAAACACAAGTCACGTGTGGAAAAAAATACCGCTGCACTAAAAAGGGTCAACCCTTAGGTAGTAGTAAGGGCTTATTTCTAGTGCAAATCCGCGGCGATATCACGCCTCCCCCATTGAGTTAGAGCATTCCGCTCTCACGTGCCAGTCGTGCCAGGTCCCGCGTCCGGAAGGCTGTCGATCCCTTGATCCATGCCTGGCAGGGCTACCTGAAAGCAATGTTGTGCAATCAATCCGCTGGTTGCAATTTCAATTGTGATCATGGAAGGCTTGCGCAGCAAACAAAGGCTTTTCAAGAACATTCAGCCAACACCTATGCGGCTGATTGCACTTGCTGATCTCATGACTGGTTGATCTAGTCCAAACGTCAATCGATGGAGCCAATAGGCCATCTCTACATGCATCCATAGTCATTGAGACCCAGTGGGTTCCAAATGAGATTCCGATATCGACCACGATTGGAGGTTCTAGTGAAGACAACATGATGAACATATCGAGTCATGACGTATGACGATGTGGCGCCGGAAACGGAAACGGATATCACATACCTACATCCACGGTATGTAGGGATGTATGGATAAACGTCCGATTTCATCAGCCAGCAACCCATATTACTAGCTTCCATTGCGTGTCGGATTGTCTACATATACCCCCGAATCCCGCGGACGTGCTTCTTTCTCGTCGGCTAGAGAGAAACTAGGAGAAACTAGCGCAGCCAGGTCAACCAACATGTCGCCTCCCGCTGCCATCTCCCCACCGCCAAGCACTAAGGCCAGAGATGACATTTTCACGGAGCCTGATTGGAACAAGGTTCATAGTCATCGCATTGGCCTCCGGAATAAAGATGATCGGTTCCCGGGTCTTACGCACGATGGGGATGATCCGCGATTTGAACTAGAGGAGTTGTCGGAGAAGGAGGTGCAGGAGTTGCAGGCGAAGAAGGCTAAGGGGGAGTTGCTTACTGTGAGGGATTTTATGAAGGATCAGGAGGTGAGCGCTCGCTTTGTTCTTTGTTTAATGGGGGGACATAAGCTAATTGACTCTCGTCCAATAGGATTTTCATATCAGTCGACCGGACGTGCATCCTAAGTACTGGCGATACGTACTGCATACGACGGAGGACTTCATTAAATATGAGGAGGAATGGCCGATAAACAAAAAGGAGCCCCCAAAGGAGGATAAGCAGGCTACAGCCACCAACGGGGTGGCACATGACACATACACACCGGAACAGTTGGAGTTCCTGAAGAATCTCCAGGACGAAGCGGAGTACATCCGCACCTTGAAGATCAACGACGGAAAGGGCATTTCTCCCGCGAAAAATGCACTTATGCCTGCGGATGTTGACGACCAGGATAAGCTCACGCCCGACAATTGGGTTCCACGGTCGGACCATCTGCTTCGGCAAACCGGTAGGCATCCTCTCAATGCAGAGCCCAATCTAGCGGAGCTTCTGGGTGCAGGTCTTATCACTCCCAGCCCGCTGCACTATGTCCGCAACCATGGTCCCGTGCCGCATCTTCTGTGGGAAAACCATAAGCTCGAGATATCGGCCGGAAAATCCATGAGCCTATTCATGGATGATCTGGTGGATCAATTCCAGAGCATTAACATTCCCGTTTTGCTTGCCTGTGATGGCAATCGTCGGAAGGAAGTCAACATGGTCAAGCGAAGTATGGGATTCAATTGGGGCGCCGGAGCAGTCAGCTGCGCATACTGGAAAGGTGTCCTCCTGCGCGACGTGTTGATCAAAGCGGAAATCGAGCAATTGATGTCGGATTATCCTAACCAACGTCTTTATGTCAACTTCCAAGGCTCGGAAACCTTGGCCGAGGGCAAATATGAGACATCTATTTCACTGGATCATATCATGAATCCGGACAACGATGTATTACTGGCTTACGAGATGAACAATAACCCATTGCCCGCCGACCATGGGTACCCGGTTCGACTCATTGTTCCTGGATTTGTCGGCGGGCGCTGTGTGAAATGGTTGCAAAGCATCTGGGTAACGGACAATGAAAATGACAGTCACTATCATATTTATGATAACCGTGTGGTTCCCAGCTTCGTGGAGGAGAGAACCTCGGATTTTGGCAAAGCCATGTACAATCACCCCAGCACGGCATGCATGGAGCAGATGCTGAACTCGGTCATCATGAGACCTGATCACGGTGAAAAGGTTAAACTTACCGGTGCCAAAATGGGAGAGAAATATCGGGTCCAGGGGTATGCGTATAACGGTGGGGGGAATGAGATTCAACGCGTTGAGATTAGCTTGGATGGAGGGAAGAACTGGCTATATTGTACACGCAAGGTGAGTTTAATACGGGACTTCTTTCGGGTCGCAAGGTCCCTTACTGATCAACGACAGTATCCGGATGCACCCCTGCGTCATGGACGGAAGTTCTGGACATGGCTGCACTGGTACAAAGACCTTCCCATCGCCGAACTGCTGAAAGCGGAAAGCATTACAGTTCGATGCTGGGATGTCAACAAAAACACGCAACCAGAGAACATCCGGTGGAACCTTGAGGGGTAGGTTAAACGCTTCTCGTGTTTATCATAACATAGGCTTACTGGTCATAGAATGATGAACAATGCTCAGTTTGTGGTGAAGTCGGAAATTGTTCAAGACCCAGATACCAACCAATCCGTGCTGCAATTCCGTCATCCAACCAATGCAACCGGCGATGGTGGATGGATGACGTCCTCCCGCGAGAATCAGATTAATGACTGGGAGCAAGAGGGTGATACGCCGGTCAAGCAATACGATCGCCAAGAGATCGAAAAGCATTCGACCGAAACGGACTGTTGGCTCGTTATCAACAACAAAGTATACGACGCGACCAGCGTTCTCGCCTGGCATCCCGGGGGTAAAGACGCCATCTTAGCACACGGAGGCCGGGTACATGTGCAGACAACGGAGGAGTTCGAATCTGTGCATGATACACATGCTCACGAGGAACTGCAAAGTTTGTCAAGCCTGTCCTAATACATTGACATTGCTAATAAAATCACAGAACACATTATCGGCGTGGTCTCGAAGAACACGCAGGACTATATGAAACAGCAGGCGGAGGAAGCAAGAAAAGAAGCCGAGGGATCGCATGACAATCCTGACATAGCTCTGAAACCTCACAAGTATGCTATATACGCTCCCCGGCTCAAGCCACACAACTAACATCTCCTAGATGGATCCAAGCCAAACTCCTAGGAAAGACCCCACTTTCTGACGACACGAACCGGTACAAGTTCGCTTTGCCGGAAGGCAAGAAGCTCGGTCTAGAAAGCGGGCAGCATGTACAGGTCGGATTCCATTTCGAAGACAAATTGGTATTCCGGTCATACACGCCCGTCAGACCGGTAACAGAAAAAGAGGAAGACGGAACATTCGACCTCGTCGTCAAAACCTACAAGCCCGATCTGAAGCAACCAGGGGGCACGATGAGCAACATCCTTGATTGTCTGCGCGAGCATCAAGAGATCGACATCACCGGGCCGACCGGCGAGATCCGCTACCGCGGGAATGGAAAGTTTCTGATCGACAACGTGGAGTACCACTTTGATCGCATCCAATTGATCCTTGGCGGCTCTGGCATCACACCCGGCTATCAAATCATCGCGCATATCCTGTCTTCTCCAGAAGATAAGACGCAGATCAAAGTTGTGGATTCCAACAAGACTGAGAACGACATCTTAATGCACGACGAACTAACCAAGTTCGAAGAGAAACATCCCGATCAACTTCAGGTTTATCATATTCTTTCCCAAGCAGGTCCCAGCTGGATTGGACTGAAAGGACATGTTGATGGGCCAATGCTTTGTAAATATGCGTTTCCGCCTGACGAGAAGACTGTTGCGTTGCTGTGCGGTCCGCCTGCTATGGTTAAGGCGGTTGTGACGGCATTGGAGAGTTGGGGTTATCATAAGGATCGTAATATCTTTGGATTTTAATTGGGGGAATTGAGTATCTACTTTCTATTTAATGAATTCGCAATTCAGCTGTTGCTTTATTGGATTAGATGAATTGTCTCTTTCATAATATATCTGGTTTTCTCAATATCGTTATCAGCGGCTTCAAAATGGACAACAGCCGTTTATCTGTTCCCTGGCCATCATTAATTAATCATATTGCAGCTGTCTGAAAATATTCGAGTATGGGCTATCTGGAGCGTAGCAACCCGTTCTGGACTTGCTCACCCCCTCATCATAACCATATCAACTGTCGACAAGTTTATGGCGCAACTAAATCCGTTTGATGTCGGTGACAGACAAATTTCAACCAACCTTTGATCCCTATTTCCTGTTCAGAAGCGGTTTCTGGCCGGAAACATAGACACATCAGCGGAACCTAGGAACCTATTCGGCTACGCCGACCTAGGTTGAGTTCAGCTGTTCACTAGCCATCCCTTTCTTTATCTCGTATGATATTTTGCCTTTTTCATCTCGCTATATAGACTAGGAACAGCATCTTCATATGTTTCGGTCGGGAGTTGGGCAAAAAGGATGTAGGTCATTGTCCCTTCAGTAGGGAGTTAGAAACATCAGCTTTCTGTACCTAAAGTGCTTCCCGGTTCTCCCCAAGAACCAAGCCCGGAAAGAATATTTTCTCAGAGCAGGTTTCGAGTCCGCGGAGAGTGAGTGCACCGTATACCTCTTCATGAATCATACTCGGAAAGCATCACCGAGTCTAACTTTTTCCATTACTTACCGCCAAAGAGAGAAAAGGAGGCCGAACATAAGAAAAAGATGTTTGATCTTTTAATTCAATCTTACGCTAGATCACGTCTACAGGGAGATTAATATATGAAAGTGAAAGACTTGATTATTGAAGTGGGTTCCGAGTGAGACATTGACTAGTTTAAGTGGCCTCTAGCTACTCCCACTTGTGGGCTGCAGACCGCAGACTGCCGGCAGTGGCATAACTGGGACGGCGATTTGAACGTGCAATTTGCATGGATGGGTGCATGCGTATGGATTCTTGAAATAAGAAGTTAGATAGAGGCTAAAAACTCCGTTGAGAGGTTAATTTAACGGATTTTAATCGGGTTCTAGAACGATGGATGGTGGTCAATAGATTGTTTCCGGAAAGACTCAAGGCAAGTTGAAAGAGGCAATATGTAGGTGTTTCCTTTGTTCTTTTTCTGGTCCGTTTCTCTAATTGCGAAAATACAATTTACCATGTTCTGTTGAATTACTTCGTCTTATTTCTCCCATCTATATCGATTTACGACATACCTCAATAAGATTCAGCCACCTGGCTTCCATCCCTTTCAATTAACTGTCTCAACATCAGGCCACCAGCCACTATCCGTCACCTTTAGCATTAACAATATCCTCGAATAATCAAAATCCTCCGACCCTCCGAGCAAAAAAGGCTAATTAGAAGGACATGAATCAGTCTATATCGGGCCCCGCATGGCGCAGAACCCGGCCTCCAGCGAAGCAGCACAATCTTGGACGTGGCACTGCAGCCCGCTGAATAAGCTTTCTTTCAAGCAAGCTTATACTCTAATTGCGAGCTAGCCTAGTGGCAATTAAAATATATTAACGTCATTTCCTGGTGTCCGGAGGCCCGGAGACTAGGACTATTTGGCAGGCTGGATGGATGGTAGCATGGGATTTAGTTGCCTTCTTGGGCGATGTACCGATGGAGTTACCAGGCTCAGGCCGGTATCAGCTTGGCTCTGCTGATGGTAAGACTACAATAGAAAGATCGATATTGATTGAATGATTTTTACCGCATAATTGTGGTCTGTTAAATGCATTATGGTAGATAGGCTTCGGCGATGAAAGAGGCCTCGGAAGTCGACGGAATCGTTACCAGGACGGTAGTTTCACGTTCTGGAAGCGTTCGATGGAGTAGGACGGAGAATGATATGATCTGAGATTTTTATACCCCAAAGACCGAGTCGGTGGGCCGGTGGATCGGACTATCACCGTTCCTGGCTCGCGGGTGTCCACATTAGCCACGATCTCAAACGGGGTTAAAAAGGTTTTCACTTTTCACGCCGTACAGCGTATAATTTGCCCCTTTAGTGTGGTGTGAATGGGAAAGAATAAAAATAATAATTCAGAGGAGAGAAGAAGGGCTCATCGAGGGGAGCTTACAGATTGCTTCTCATATTGCCAAGATAAGGCGAAGAAAAATGACATCTCCCGTCAGCAGTCACCCATACAATATTGATTATTCTACTCACGCTCCAATTCTCCAATTTCGGCAGTTGTCCGGACCCCCAGAGCAAGTCGCCAAGACGGAGCAATTGCTTTTACGGTGAAAGCCGTCCACCGCCAGTCAGCAGTTCAAAGGGGGGGAGACTATTCCCGGCCTAAGGCTAAGAGGGCTTTAGTGGACATCGTGAAACACCGTAAATTTCCCGAATCACTCCACCATCCACCTCCTCATTAACGGAATGGATCTACACGTTCGTGAACGCCGCATGAGAAACGTGGTTGAGCACCGGACATGCCTGTTCTCCTCCACGAATTCACCCACGCCAATGGGCCTCAGCCCTCTAGTTTCGGCGGACTGGAAACGGTGCGGTTTTACTCTGGGGCCCTGGCCTGTTATCGCCGGCTGCCATGGCTTGTTTCACGACATTGTCCGTGGACCCCAATTTATTCTTGCAGTCCGGTTTATTGGGCCATGATGATAGCGGTGATGATGGGCTGGGTTCCATGTTCGTTTTCCCAGGGGTAGGAGGCAACTGTACTCCTCTAGTCCTGACCTTGCAAGGATTTTATTTCTCCGGAGATTCTATAGATATAAAGACCGGGGTTCCTCTCCCTTCATACGGCTTTTCTTTTCTTAACCAAATCATTCATTCATTCTTTTTCTTTTCCCATTTTCTAATTTTAATTGATACCTTCTTTATTGGATTTCCTTTCTTTTGTCTCAGGTCATTCTCTCCATCATGAAGTACACCGGGCTTTTCAGCGCGGCTGTTGCTGCTTTCGCCAGCAGTGCTGCCGCCGTCAGCGTCTCCGGCGCCGCCGAGGGTTTCGCCAAGGGCGTGACTGGAGGTGGAAGCGCCTCTGCTGTCTACCCCAGCACGACCGATGAGCTGGTCTCATACCTCGGTGACAGCTCTCCCCGTGTCATCGTCCTGTCCAAGACGTTCGACTTCCGCGGAACCGAGGGTACCACCACCGAGACTGGTTGCGCTCCCTGGGGTACTGCCTCCGGCTGCCAGCTGGCCATCAACAAGGACAACTGGTGCAACAACTACGAGTCCAGCGCCCCCTCGGCCTCTGTCACCTAGTAAGTCCGAGGTCTTTTGATTTGCACCGTCTTGCGCTTGCTTGCTGACTCCTCTCCTTTCCAGTGACAACGCCGGTTCCCTCGGTATCACCGTCGCTTCCGACAAGACCATCATTGGTGAGGGCAGCAAGGGTGTGATCATGGGTAAGGGTCTCCGCATGGTCAGCGGTACCTCCAACGTTATCATCCAGTGAGTATATGATCGGTTCTGCATCTGGGAATATTCCCTAATCAACCACCCTCTAGGAACATCGCCGTTACCGACATCAACCCTCAGTACGTCTGGGGTGGTGATGCCATCACCGTCAACGATGCCGACAACATCTGGATCGACCACGTCACCGTACGTTGCTCTACACCTGTATGAAATCTACCCAATCTAACCAGAATAGACTGCCCGTATCGGTCGCCAGCACATCGTCCTCGGAACCCAGGCCGACAACCGTATCACCCTCTCCAACAACTTCATCAACGGCGAGTCCGATTGGTCCGCTACCTGCGACGGCTACCACTACTGGGCCATCTACCTTGACGGCTCTTCCGACATGGTCACCATGAAGGGCAACTACATCTACCACACCTCCGGCCGTTCCCCCAAGGTCCAGGGCAACACCCTCCTGCACGCTGTATGTCTCACTTTCCCCTTCCTACCATCTCTATAGATTCTCGCCACTAACCCAGCCTCTTCTAGGTCAACAACTACTGGCACGACAACACCGGCCACGCCTTCGAGATCGGTGAGGGTGGCTACGTTCTCGCCGAGGGTAACGTTTTCCAGAACATCAACGTCGTCGCCGAGTCCCCCATCAACGGTGCTCTTTTCACTGCCCCCGACGCCGGCACCAACAAGGTCTGCTCGTCCTACCTCGGCCGCGAGTGCCAGATCAACGGATTTGGCAGCTCCGGCACCTTCAGCCAGGCCGACGAGAGCTTCCTCTCTAACTTCAAGGGCAAGAACATTGCTTCGGCCTCTGCCTACGGCAACGTTGCCTCCAGCGTCTCTTCCGGCGCTGGTGCCGGCCATCTGTAAGCGGTTTCGCTACTTTTTACTTCCCTTGCAGATCCTGGTGAAATGCCCCTAGTCCCTAGAGGATGAGATGATTCAGGTTGATCATTCATGCATGTATGAGATTGTTTGAGACTTTCTCTTTATATATATATAACTTGTGCCTATTGCATATGTTCCTAGCGAATATTAGTCTAATTTGGTTTGATGAAGCCCTGGGTGGTTTTATTTACACACATGATTTTCTTTTTCTATTGGTGGTTTTGCGGAGTAGAGACTCAGATCACGAGATCTATCGTTACCCTGACTCCCCCTTCTTTGTGATATAATGCAACTTGATCTATTGGATCCGACCGGGTTCTTAACACAGACTATCAAACGAATGACTTTCCAGCGGCAGCTCACAGACCAAGATCTCCGATTCCTGCAGATCTTTAATCTACCGAACGAGTCAAGTGCCAGTTAAACGTTGATCAGGTCGTTTTACGGAGTACTATATAGTCCGACCATGGAAGATGATATCATTCAATGAAACGATCCCAGATACTAAGATCCCATCGATTATTCTAGACCGTTAGGAGCATGAACTTGTTAGGTAACCGTTCACGCGATCTTGATCGATTAGGTTTTCTTCGTGTCACACAGTTAGACTAGGTGGGGGTTCCACTGTTGGGGTTGCTTTGCTTGGATTTAGGCCCCTGCGTCTCGGGTTTGTTTCAATGGGGGTTGTATGAGAACTCATGGGGTAGTAGAGATCATTATTCGGCAGTAGATTAGAGCGAGGGTGTAAAACAAGAAACGAAAAGAAATGAAATGTGTGTCCAGTTGGGAAATAATTATCGGACAGTGTGAGTACTTCATGAGATCAAATTTCTCATTTCTAAATTATTGTAAACCAACAAATTGAATGGTTGTCCTGGTGTTTGTTATAAACTATGTAAGTATGATGGTTATGGTTGTTGTCCTCAGGCCGAGACCAAGATCCGGACGGAAGCGGACTAGCGGCAGTGGAAATGCCTTTATGCCTCAGGCGGGAGGCTTCACATGACGGCAACTTGTCGGCAAGTCGGTTCCGTTGCCCCTTTGGGACGGTGCACTTGACGTAAGTACCTCGTCGGATGATGTAATTCTCTGCGAGCAGTAAGGATGAAGACATCTGCATGCACTGAAAGGAGTAGTTAATTAGAAAAACTATAAAAAAATATAGAAGGGTGGAATGCCAATGCCAATGCTAGTTAAAGGGAAGACTGGCAAAATGTTTAAGCAATTAAAGCGTCGCCGTGTATCCCCGACGCTTGCAATTAGCCCGTCCGTGATTGGCCGAGGGTGGCTGAGTCAGCCCCGTGACCGGCAGACCCGAGGTAACCCTCAGGCAAAAAGACTCGCAGCTCCTAAAGGCGACAAAACACCTCTTCCTTGCCTCATCTCCTTCTGCTTTGCCTTCAATTGCCGCTGGCTGGCTGCTCTGCTCCCTCTCCATCTCGGCTTCTTCTCTTCTCCCCTCCTCTCACTCCACTCTCCCCTCCTGCTTGCACTCTTTCCTGCGGCTCTTACCCACCTGACGATCTAACTCTCCCTTTTCCGGCTTAATTTTCCACAAAACCCTTGATTCCTGCGCGATCCACAAAAAAGCCACCATGGCCGCTCTTCGCTCGACCTCGCGCCTTGTCGCATCCTCGCGGCCTCTGTTCCGCCCCTCCGTCTTCGCTCGCTCCTATGCGACCGTCGACCCCGTCGCTCAAGCCGGCTATGCCAGCAGCAAGACCATCCCCGAGACCAAGACCTCGACCGACCAGGACCCCAACATGTCCGAGAACCCTCGCGTCAAGAAGTTCCACGTCTACCGCTGGAACCCCGACCAGCCCACCGAGAAGCCCTCCATGCAGACCTACCAGCTGGATCTGAACAAGACCGGGCCCATGATGCTCGACGCGCTCATCCGGATAAAGAACGAGATGGACCCCACCCTGACTTTCCGGAGAAGTTGCAGAGAGGGTATCTGCGGTAGCTGTGCGATGAACATTGACGGTGTCAACACCCTGGCTTGCTTGTGTATGTCTTCCTGTTTTCATATGAGAGGGTAATGAAGGATGTGGCGCTAACAGGGACGAATAGGCCGTATCCCGACCGACACGGGGAAGGAGTCTCGCATCTACCCGTTGCCTCACACCTACGTTGTCAAGGATCTGGTTCCCGACTTGACGCATTTCTACAAGCAGTACAAGTCCATCAAGCCTTACCTGCAGCGTGAGACCAAGACCGAGGATGTAAGTCGACACCCGAGCCTGCCGAGCCCCTTGTGGCGAATCGATGCTAACGATATCTCTCTTACAGGGTCTGGAGTTCCGCCAAAGCCCCGAGGAGCGTAAGAAGCTGGACGGTCTCTACGAGTGTATCCTCTGCGCTTGCTGCTCGACCTCTTGCCCCTCGTACTGGTGGAACGCCGAGGAGTACCTCGGTCCCGCCATCCTCATGCAGTCCTACCGCTGGATGGCCGATTCGCGTGACGAGAAGACCGCCGAGCGCAAGGCCGCGCTGGACAACAGCATGAGCGTCTACCGATGCCACACCATTCTTAACTGCTCGCGAACCTGCCCCAAGGGTCTGAACCCTGCCCGGGCGATCGCCGAGATCAAGAAGCTGATGGCCGCTCACTAAGGTGGATGATCGAAAAGGGAGAAAAAAAAGAGACTTGTGTTTATATTCCGTGATATTCTTTCTGCATCCTTTTTTTTATTACCTTATTTTTACATTTCCTTTTGATGTCTCATTTGTCGCTAACTAGCTTTTTCATTTTCAATTTTTTTTGTTTTTATTCCCTCGGACTTGTGAGATATTTTCATGTCGGATGTTTCATTAGGTGTAAATTGTGAATATTCAATATCAGACTAAACTTTCTTCACTTGGGTTTTTCAATGGTAGGATAAATCTGGCACAGGTGTATCTCAACGCCAAGGAGGATGGAGTGCGGTTGATAGCATAACCGCTCCAAGCGAATGAAAACAGCCCAATTAATACGCTGACGCGAGAGTCGGCAACCTGATCGGCATTCACTTCGGAGGACATTTTGATTGTAATATCATACCAAAGGTGAAACCTCATGATATCTCGATTGGGCTTTTAGCACAGTTGGTAGTGCGCCCGCTTTGCATGCGGGAGGTCAGGGGTTCGATTCCCTTAGAGTCCAGCCCATTCTTTTTTATACTTTTTGCTTTATACTTTTTGCCTCCATCTAGATCTTTGCTGGACTGTTCATTCCCGTACTACATTGTCTTGCTTTTTTTAATTTTATTTTTTACATTTAACTGTTATTAATGTAGAAGTAGTTCTTCTGTCTATTTTGACTTAGTTGTTATTCGATTAACCATCTCACGGTCGAGTTCTCTATCGACGATGCCTATGCCCCATGTCCAGTGGCCGGGTAGAAATATATAGGGGAATAGAGGAGTAAATTCTCAACCTTCAACGCGTTCTCACGATAACAGCTAAATGAGCAAACATGTCGATCCGGCCATTCTTCAAAAGGCAGCATTGGATCTGGGAATCCTTTCTCATGATCGTCCTATATACATAATTTCCTTCAGACCATCCAGCGGTAGTGTGATCCCAACATCTCAACTTGGTATCTCGCAACCACAGCACCGAAGACAAATAGCACGAGAGAAGAAATTAAGGATACCTCCCCGACGACTTCAACATATCCATACACATCTCCACAGCCTTCTGCATCTCATCCGTCGCCTCCTCTAGCAGCGTCGTCAACGGCACCCGTCCCGCCTTCTCCCTCTGCACCCTCACATACTCATTATTCAACACCTTGTTGATATTCACCTTCGACACGCCACACGCGATGCACTTCGCAAAGATCTCCTCCGTGAAAGGATCCGCCCCATGCAGCACCAACCTGACCTTCTCCCCGACCGCACTCCTTATCCCCTCCAACCGCTCATACTCCAACTGAATCCCCCGAGGCCCATACTCCCCATGCACATTCCCAAACGCCGGCGCCAACCAATCAATCCCCGTATCCACAAACTCCTGACTCTCCTCCGGCGTCGTCAACAACCCTTCCAGATCAACCGTATCCGCCACCCCGTCCTCCCCGCCCTCGATGCGCCCGGGCTCCGCCTCCGTCGCGATCCCCCGCTCATTGCAATAGCGCACCAGTTCCCTCGTCAGGGCCAGATTCTCCGCCTTCTCGTAATGCGACATGTCCACCATGATACTGTCGAAACCGCCTAGGTCCGCCGCCCGACGGATCATCTCGGGCGTCTGCGCGTGGTCCATGTGCACGGTTATCGGCACGGACGCGGCCCGCGCGGCTTCGGCTGCGGCGTGTACGAGGAGCCCCGAGGCGTAGTTTACCGCCCACGGGAACAAGAGGATCATGGCGGGCGAGCGCTTTGCTTCGGCGGCGCGCACGGTCGCGAGGATTCCTTCGAGGTTGTAGCAGCACATGGCTGGCACGCCGTAATGGTTGGAGGCGGCGTGGTCGAGGAGGGTGGTTGCGCGGTTGGTGAGGGGCATTTTGGATGGATGGATGTAGGTGGATTGGTTTGGTTGGGAAGGGAGAAGAGGAAAGGATGTAGTATAGAGAGAGTGAGGAGAGGAAGCTAGTCGAGAAGAGAAAGTGGTTATAGATATATTAATTACTTCTCCCCCGCACTCTCTTCACCTTCGTCTTGATAGATGGGTTTATTATGTGCCTGAGATCGGATATTGGTCCGAGTGCCGGAGTTGGTCCGATTGACGTCAGTCTATTTCTATAGTTACCGGAGAATGGATCTGCGATTTGGCGGGGTTGCCGAGAGAAGGGTATATATTCATTACTCAGTAGACTTAGACTTTTAGTGATTGACAGGACAGGGTTCTTTGATCTCGTGTTGTCGCTCGTGGTTGGGCATTGTTAGCCCATGGTACTGTACCATGTTAAAAGTTAAAACTAGGTATGGAATTCGGGACAGTCTGATGCAGTCACTACATATCTATGAACTTGGAGGAAATTTTCTTTCTCTCTCTCTTTTTTTTTTTTTTGGGAGAGGAGAACGGGAAGGCCGGAAGTTTGAATTATTTGGTTCAACTAGCTAGTGTTTATTGTAAAGCTCAAAAACTTCTAAAACATCCCTTATTCAAGCACACCCTATAGAGATACCTCCCCTAACAAGCCGGAGACATTCAATATTCCCGCGACCCCTTTCACGATGGTGAATCTGATGTACGGATTGCATTTACGAGTGGCCTAGATTGAAGGAGTTCATGGGGAAGGGTAAGGGGTCTTGAAGTCGAGTAATTGATGCATTTGGTGTGTCTTTTGCCAAGAGCCCTTGTGTGAGTTTGGCGATGAGGTGATCGAGTCGGCCATTGTTAAATATACAATAATGTAAGTGGGTATCTCATCTCTCATTTAAGCTCACTCGGTAGGTCCGAAAAGGGCACCATGGAATTTAAAATTCATTCAAAATTAAAGTACTGCCTATTTCGGTAATTTCTGCATCGAAAAGTCAAAATATCCCTTTATAGTGTCGGACTGCCCCCCGCAGGATATGGAATGCACTGTTATCATGGTGCATTTTCTGTCCATTCCAGCCGTTGTAAGCTCCTGCATGGAAAGACTCCTACCGGATATGACAATAAAGACATCGACCGAGAGGACATTCTCATGTGAATGAAGACCCTCCATCAGGTTGCACCCTCGCTACCCTTCTAAGAGTCCAGCAGAATGAAATATCCAGATTACGCCGTCATTCACCTATCCCCTCGGTCTAGACAATGATAACACCATGGGATATTGTAGATAGAACCTCATAAGGTTGCGGTATGATGTAAATGAGTCAATAAAGCGTACGGATATTTAAACAGAAGGTTTCGAAAGTCAATTGGAACGATGTATAAACTCAGATCCATACTCCTCATTATAATTGAGAACATCTAGAACACGAAGCTGAATCGGTCCTATATAGGCGTCATCACCGTCCGTTCGATACTCTTCATTATAGCTAAGGACACTTAGATTAAGAAGCAGAGTCGGTCCCGTATAGACCTCATCACCATCTATCCAGCCACAATGCCACAATCCGGAACCCTACGCCAATACATCCGCCATTTAACCGACCCCAAGGTCAACAATCACTTGATTAAACTAAAGGACTACAATGTTTGTCTGCAGGTTCGTCAACCCTACGCTCTTCCTTATCAAAACCCCCACCCAAGCCCAAGAAGCAATAATAGCTAACACCCAGCAGCTCAAAATCCCCGACTACCAAGTCCAATCAGATACTGTCGAACTCAACGTAGAGAAACGCAAGAGTCAAGAAACAAAGCATCTCTTCAAAGCCCTGCGCGCGCATTTGGACTTTCATGTCGCGATTTTCCCAAAAGGAGATAAACATGATGGCGCCTCGCTAAAGCGAAGCCTCGCGAGCGTCAACACCATCAGTCTTTTCTTTCCGGACATTCGTCACGAGGGTATCAAAGTCTGTATGGCGGTGTGGTTGGAGACGTTGTGTACGGTTGACGATCAGATCGAAAACATGAGTTTAGAAGACGCAGGGGAGGCCATTGAGGAGGCGATTGCGGTCTTGAAAGACGAACGTGGGTTAACCATACGATCAAAAAATGATTTAAAAAAAAACACCGCAAAAAAAGGCAATATTAACAAGCCTCTCAACGAACCAGAATTCCACACGCCCAAACATCCCCAGTTCATGGAAATCATCACTAAATTCAAAGACCACTGCATGACGCACCACCACCCTTCTCTCCTATCTGGATTCTTCTCGGAAATATGCACCGTTTTTACAGGCCTCTTGCAAGAAATCCATCTCAAGAACGGAACACTCTCCCAAACACTGGACGCCTACCTCGCTATCCGCCGCAAGACAATCGGCCTCAAGCCGGCCTTCGCGTTAATCCGAAGCGCCTATAACCAGCCCTACCCGCCCAGCAAAGAAACCACGCAATTACAAAATGACGTCGCTATAGTCGCAGGCCTACAGAACGACTTGATCGGGTTGGAAAAGGATATCCGCACCGGGGAGGTTGTGAATGCGGTGGTGTTTCTACTGGGCGGGATGGAGATGAAGAGGAGTGGGAAATGGACGGTAGGGAGCGGGGATCTGAGAGCTACGACGGGGGAGGCTTGTCGTTTGCATGATTTGTATCTGGAGAGGGTCTTGAAGAGAGTGGAGAGGTTGGGGGCGAGGGCAAGGGGGGTGCCAGGGATGGAGGTGGAGGCCGCGTTGGCGAGCGTTGAGGCGTCGTTGATGCAGACGCATTTTGAGTGGTGTACGAGTGCAAAGAGGTATCAGAGTAAGACGGCCTAGGATGGAGATTGAGAGGTATGGAGGATGGGATTGGAGGGTGGAATTTGGGGTTTGGTGTGGAAGAGGAGATGTGGTTTGATTCTCTTCGTCTGTTTCTGCCTCCATACCGACTGAAAGGGGAAAAATTGTACGAACTAGAATTAGGAATGAGCGAGTAATCACGTCACATATTTTGTGGATAGATCTGTATGATCCCGATTCTAGTCGCCCTTTTCTGAAGAAACATGCAAGGATGTCGGCCAGACTTGTCTCCGCGCATGCAGCACATCACCCTATCAGCAGAGCCAGGAACAATGGATCTTAGTGCCTGGGAAACCAAATCTCTGAGAAAGAAAATATTGCTAACGAATAGAGCAGCTGCAGATGGAAGTGTCACGCAAGGGAATATGTGCTTTATTTCCCGATTCTAACACCTGCAGGACCTAGCTAGACCCACTTGTATTCAGTTCTCCGATTTATGCATTTGATTATTCATGATGGAACAGAAGATGGAGACTCTATCGAGAGGAGGCTACATGAGTCCTGAGGGTTGGAAGAATACATTCAGCCATCAGGATCTTGTTCGGATCGTATACTAGAGGCTGTCATAACAAATAAAACGCACAGAAAAGACGGCAGAAACGAAGCAAGACGCTCAATACTCATACCCATAAGCTTTAATCACACTCGTACTGGCCTCCGCCCCCAACCCAGCCCTCTTAGCAACCAGCAACATATTCAACGCCGTATTGGCCAAATGCAACGGCACGTACAGATCCCGCGCCTTCTGCACCACATTCTCCAATCTCTTAATTGCTTCGTCCACCGTCTGCGAGCTCCCGGGTGCTTGGGCCCCGATCTTCCCCTCAATCATCTCCAATCCACGCGTGACAAACACTTTGCTGGAACCAGCAGCGTCGCTGACCAATTGGTAGAACTGCCCCATGTCCGCTTTCAGGTATCGGGCTAGGGAGACGGCCTCCGCGGCAGCGACAAGGTTGATGCCTAACATGAGGTCGAGAACGAGCTGGAGCGATTCTTGCGTTTGCTCTGTGGTGGGTGCGCTCTGCACGTCGGCGATGGGCGAGGAATAGTATTGGCGCACCATGGCGGAGTCGTCTTTGGGGCCGTAGCCGTGTAACATGGCCGCGAGGTATGTTTGCTCGGCCGTGGAGCAGAGGGGCGTCGGGAACTTGTGTTGGCGGGCTTGCGAGGTGATGATGCCCTACGGGAGGTGATTAATTGGTCAGTCAAGAGCACAAGGTGTTATCGTCATTGCAAACGAGAAGGCCAAAGCAAGGGAGCACATACGACATCCTTTAGGATAATGGTCAGTGCACTCGCGCCCGGGTTCCAATCTTCGTCGACCATCCGGGGAAACCGATTCTCATGCATCCATGTCCAAGCATCGGACGCGATGATCTTACTGGCCGTGTCTCGGGCCTCCAGACCGAGATGGGCCGCGAGCCCTTGGGCCTCGCTGGCTCCGAGGATGTGAATGGCTGCCAGAACCTGGTGCACCATTTTCATGTTGCTGCCGGCTCCCACACCCCCGGGAACCAGATACAGTTTGCTCTCCGCGGAGAGAGTCTGAAGGAGGTCTCGACCACTCTGGAGCGCCTCTTCCGATCCCCCGGCCATGATGGAGAGTGTTCCGTCGGCGGCGCGTTTGGCGCCACCCGAGACAGGACAGTCAATGAAGTGGATATCCGAGCGGCCGCGAGCCTGCAGTTCCGCGGCGACAGATTGGGCGTAGGATGCTGGGACCGTGGAACAGAGGAGAAGGGTGGCGTTCTCGGGGAGGTCTGGTATCGTCAGTGAGTCGGTCCGAAAGGAGCCTGATTGGGGAGGTCTTACGCTGCACAATTCCATCATCGGCAAACAGGACGGACTGCACTTGCGGTGCGGAGGCAACCATACAGACGTAGAATGATTTCCCCTCTGCGGAATCCTGCAGCGACGACGCGGCGATGCCTCCAGCCGCTTGGAAGCGTTGCACGGAGGCCGGGAAGACGTCGAATCCGTGGACGGCGTGGCCTTGCGAGACGAGGTGGGTGGCCATACCGAAGCCCATGGCTCCCAGGCCGACGAATCCAATGGCGGGCTTGGACATTTTGAAATTTCTGCTGTTTGTTTGTGTTACTGTCGGGGAGTCAGAATGGGAGTTGCGATAGCGGTTAATATACGGAGGAGAGCATGGTGGGTGTGGCTTCGCTGCGAAGGCCGAGGTGGGATGTGCTCGGAGTTGCGCCGAGGTCGACGAGGGGGTCGGATAGACTGAATCGGCCACGAACGGTCAACTTTGGACATACTCAGGCGGATTTGCATAAAGATAGCTCCATTCCCCTCGGGTAGGAACTCTGCTTTCACCTTTCCTTTTGTCTTCTCGTTTTGCCTGTGTCCAATTTCCTTTGTCTTCGCGCATCTCATACATACTCCCCTGCCCTTCTTTCTTCTTATATAGAATCCATTTCTCTTCTTCCATATATTGAAGTATTGATTTACTTCGTCTCCCTGATGATGTTGAAGTAATTCTTCATGTCCAAAGAACCAAAACCATGGAATTAATCGCCCAACATTCGATGATCAGGGAACTAATTCAAGTCCCTATTCCACTCGATGCTTTATATTCGCGGTAGAAGACCCGGACTTTATGATGCGGTTCCTCCATTATCGCACTCCACGCTCAATCTAATCCGCCGTGTGACCTTCCTATTTGCGAAGGCGCTTCGCAGCCGGAACAGGGACAGGCACATATCGGAGATGGATTGGCACTTATCGGGGAAATTGTCCCCTTTCGATCGCCGTGACCACTGTTCAGCCAGGCGAGACAGTTGTAGAAGTCAATACATTGACTCGAGGTTTGTTATGAACGGTGGATTTGTCAACTTTATGTCTCTTCGTGAGTCAAGTTTCGAGGGTGACCTTTGTCCCACACTTTTCATCCCACATATTCTTTCTTTTACCGAGTTCTTCCAACATGATGACAATGGAGGAGTAGGTTTACCCAAATCATGTGCATGGATGAATGGAACTGACGTTGTGATCTCATCTACCAGAATCATGCTGTATCGAGCGAATGCCACTCCCAAGATGAAAACAGATACCAAGACAGGATCGATGTCGATTTTACCGGCTTCTACGAGGTATGTCACGCAAACCTTTCATCAGTGCACTGTTAACAAATGGTTAGTATATACACACACTTCGGAAAGTTATCGACCAATGGCCTAGTGACGGAAGTAAGTTTACATCAACTCGTGTGCTTAAATTAATGAAACTGATTTTGACATCTCATGCACCAGAATCATAGTCTGTTGATATGCGAGATACAATTCCCATTGTAAAACTGGATGGCCAGCCCGGATCGATGGGAGTTGTACAGGATCCTACGAGGTGTGTTATGCAAGCCTTTCATCAGTGCATTGCTAACAAATGGTCAATATATCCATACACTTAGCGGCGCGATCTTCCCCAAAACGTCATGGTGAAGAGTTGCGCATGTGCCGCTATCCTCCATACCGATAAAATGCAACGGTACCAGCTGTCGTTCGCAACCTTGCATTTGAAAAGACGAACGGAGATGAGTTTTTTGGAAACAGCTTTTCGAAGAATGCTGCAAGAGCCACGGGCTCGCATCCCTGGTGATCTCCGAGAGATGATGGAGATACTCAACGACATGATTCTGGAGAACAGAAAGGACGCCCAGGACACACTCGCTAAGGTCGCTGAGATTCAAACCCTCCATAAAATCAAGGGGTTCAAAATAGCGACAACAGTCATCTTCAACCAAGGCGGTACCCAGGGGCTGTCTTCTTTTGTCCTTTCTTCATGAACCTATCAGTTCCCCAAGCCCCCGACGAACTGTTTTGTGTCGACAGGATCGTATCTTTCTGCTTCAGTTTGATTCTCTCAGCCCACGTTGCATTTGACTGTTGTCTTGGCTGAACCGATGGCCCTCAGACTGGATTGTAAAGGAGGTAGTTATGTGGTTGTCATTGATCATTGATTTGAAAAGTATATACTGGCGGATGGACAAATCAGTACGACTTTGCTGTCTGGATATTGAGTACAGGATGGCGGAAAACGTTGCGAAAATGGTGTCTAGGTACTATATGGTACCCTCAACCGCGACTGACAGCCCGGAGCTCTGCAAAAAAGTACTCCTTTTCAACAACATCTTTTCGCACAGTAAATTCGACTCCAGTAAGTTTGTTGGCTCTGGTCCCGAAATGATGGATTTGCTTGAATTTCTCGCGGAGGCTGCAAAAGGCGGCATTGAAGCCTGGGAAACTCGGGAAGATTGAGAAAGGATGCCCGTGACGGAAGAATCGTGCCTGGGCTTGATTAAAAAAGGCGGCTTCAAACAGGACCCGAATATGTTGATCTCTTCGTTCAAGGCACACCGGAGACCGACAGACCGAACACTCTCACACTCCCGGGATGGCGTGTGGTGCGATATTGAAGCGCGACTTTCAGAAAGGGTGGGCCAACCTGAAAAGATGCTGATCTTGGCGAACGGTCTCGCCACATGGTACATCACAACCGGCAGTAGGCTCTATTCGATCCAATCGACCAGAAGAAACTGACAGTCATCCTGTTTAGACACTCGATCATCATTTCCTCAAGTTCTGTGCTAAAATCATACACCAAGGTGTTAGGGTTGAAATCGACTTGAACGAGCCTATCGGGGCCAAGCATACCGTGGAAAAGGAGGATATGTGAAGACCACACGTTCCTCGAGGTTTCACACGTTCCTCGAGGTTCATACTTCAATCGAGCCTATCGTTAAGGTCCCCTTCTGAAGCCTACGTGCTCAAATCAGGACATATTTTCAGTATAATTGTCCGGCTCTTTCAGTCTCGCCAAAAAATATGCGGACCATTGTACACCCAGGTTATCCATCCGAGGTGGAGACCGTGCAATGGGTACCAGAGTACCAAATCTCATGGCCCATTGTGTAAGAGCCACTGTCTTGGGGGGTGTGATGATGCATTCATTGTTGAGTGCGTCATTCCTGGGCCTGTCCATCCATCGAATCACTTCACCTTCACGGTCAGGTGAAACCATGCAGCGTGAAGATTTCCCGACTTGTCGTTTGCCTACTATGAGCTGCAATTTCAACGAGACGCCATCTCACGACACTGCAGGCTTGCTTTTCAAGAAATTCGATCATTCCGCCATCTGACCGAAAGACACGCTGAGAAGGCAGCGATGCCTTCTTGCCCGGTCGCAAATGGGTTACAACCTGAGCGCGGATGTCGAAAGTTGCGTGGCTACAATAGCAGAACTCGCGGAAGTGGCACTGCGCTGTCTTCCGCGCAAGCGCACGTATTCTGAACAAGTCAATGGTGGCCAGAAAGACACCAAGATACTTTCTTCAGCGAATATTGACTTCGTCATATCACCCGACCATATTCAGTTGATCAACGCTGCGGGACGCCCCCGTTGCATTTGCCAAATGTCGCCGCAAGGAGCATTGCCAGCTGCTAGATTGACATATCTTGCCTGTGATTGCTGCGTGCTATGAGACTAGAGCTGTACATCCAAGGGCGCCATTCAAGCTTTGACGAATTGCTGAGAGAAAACGAATCCCGGACGCATTAACAGCCTTGGAATCTCCTCCCTAAATCTCTTCTCTAACTTGATTTCATCAGATCTGTTTGTCCCGATCAGCTCCCAAACAGTTTCCTACAATTTCTGCAGGGTCACTAGATACTATTTCGAGTTCGAAGACAAAGATGACAGGAGAGGCCGATGCCTTTGCTGTCGGCTCGTCATGGACAAAGCAAGATGTGCGCTCGCAGCACCCTTATGTCTCATACATCTTATCGGTCACCCTATCATCAACCGAGAAAGCAACGGCAGTGTCCATGCATTCAATCCAGGAAAGAATTGTCTATGACAAAGCAGGACCCATCTCATGCCCATGCACAGAGTCAATAGACAAACGTATTCCCACCAAGGAGGTCAGAGACCTTTCCTCGGGACAAATCAAAGCGTCGATCTCGGTTATTGGGATCGAATTTGAGACCGAATGCTTTTCGCATGTCAATGAGACGATCTGGAATTCCAGCAGGTATGAGCTGGTCAATTCATACAGTTAGCCGTATTGAAGACTGACAACCCCGAGTAGGTTACGCGGCATCCACCTTCGTGTATGATCGGCTTTGGATAGATGTCGAGTTCAGGACGATCATCAAATAAATCCGGATGGAAGGTCTGGATCCAACTTATGGTTGATTTGCCTTTTTAATTGCATGAGCAGCAATTATCGAAGAGATTTTGGGGCATAGTTTCTTTGGAAGTTTCCTTTTCCCAGTCGCGCTTCATAAAATTAAGATACTCATCCGGATCTGACCGGAGTGCTCATATTCATCAATTGGCAGCTGGCTTACTCCTCTCAACGCCATCGGTGAAAAAGAACCAGATGACTCGATTATCTGGTGGAGGACGGCGTCTTCAAATGAAGATACCATTATGGTTTCTGCTGTCCGAAGAAACTTTATGCGAGCCCGGGGGAAATTCCTGTCACAGGCCATCTGCCAATGTCTCCATTTCGAAAAGGCGCGCCTCTAGCCCGGTCACTTCTCAAGAGGACAATCATACTCGCCTCCTATGATCCTCCGAGGAGGATATATCGGGTGGATGTGGAAATTTCAGGGACGCTCGTTCATATCTCACGACTGTCACCTGGCTCAGAGCTCAAATTACGGCTCCTTCCAAGAAAGCTTCATCCCCTGATACAAGTGGCGATACACATGATATTTTGCACCACGAAACCGACGAATTGAACGAGCCCCCAGTTCTACGGTATTATGGCACAAATCTGCTAGCACCGCCGAACTCGTCTTGTGTGTTCCTGGGAGGCGAAGCGTCCAGATCGACCTCTTCCCAATTAGCATCATAGGATTGCCCGTCACCACCTTTCCGTGTCTCTCTCTACACCACGACTCTACACAAAGAACATAAGAAACGAGGGGAAAACAACAGAAGACTGATTCTTTATATGGCTTTGGGCAATATTAAGTATGGCATTTTCACGTGTTCATGTCCACTGAAAGGAGATATCATCATAATTCTTGCTGTGGAGTATTTTGCCGCGCAACATCTTTCGGCTTCTTACTGGGCAACCATCCCACCTACCTCAGCACAGGAGAATTTCGAAAGTCGCATGAATCGCTCGGGCAGAAATCAGGTCAAAGCTGCAAGTTTTGGGTCGCTCTTCCTTCCGGGCCATCAGAGCTCCAGTGAAGGCCTATGTATGGTCGACCACCTCCATTACCTGATAAGTGCACTGTGGCCTGTTTAACACCACGTTATGTTCTGAAAAGTCGGCATTCATTTCGTACGATCGCCGAATTACCCAGCATCCTCCAGACGATCTGCGATCGAGACCCGTGGGAGAAAATTCTCTGCTCAACTAGAAGAAGCACAGCCACAATACGAGTGCCCTCTTGACTGTGCGATCGCGGCCAAAGAATCGGTGCTCTCGGCGAACGTCTGGACAAAGTCAATCGTTGACCAGAAAATACACCTCCCCCATCGGTTTTTGATTCTCTCATTCGGAACACTATACGGGCATCGGCGGGTTGGGATGTCCGTTCGTTCATTCTTGCGACCAAGCAGCAACTCATTCAGCCCAAGAATATTTGGGGGTTTGCTACCTGGGCTTACCTTCTTTATCGCTTAACCCGTCTTGTCTCGATCCTCATATCAACTTGCGTTCCATTTCATATCTTGACCCACACTTTCAAAAGCTGGTGGGCAAATTATCATTCCACGAACAAATTTCACTACAGTTCCCTCAGCCTGCGCATAATTACCGTGTTGTGAGAAAATGTCACTCAGGTAGCAGGGGTACTCCGACCGGAGCAATATTGCGTGTGTCGGAAACGGAATGCAGCACGCATTTCGAAAGCTTCAGCAATTCTCCTTAATCGAAAGATTCCTACCCAGAATACCGACAGAGGATCTGGAACAACGCTTCCAAGTACCCACATCTAGCCCGGAGCTTGGAGGATAACCAGACGTAAGGTGGTTTGGGTGCTCCGTGCGTGGAGTGAGTAAAATTATGGCCTTGGCTGATGATTCAACATGATGCTCTACTCTTTTTACTTTTATGTGCAAGAGGGTACCGACAAAGACAAACTGTGGACAACCTTCAAAACTAAGGTCTTTATGGTGCATGTTCTCCTGGTTTTCTGTTTTCTTTCTTTTTTTGACACATCTCTGTTCTTGGCTCCGATCACAGACAATCACCTTTTGCTGATTCATATGATGATGATATATGAGCTGTCAAAATATGAGGGGTACAAATTTCCCTCACGGATATATTTTGGCCGGTCTTTGTTTGATGGGAGTATCATTGGTGACTGCTCTGCATAGGAGGATATAGGCGGAGGTTGAACGTCACCTGGACGAGACTATGGATGGGGACAAGGCCTGCACCCTCCATCTCCTTTAGATATTCGTTTTTGAGACGGAATCGTTGAATTCCAGCAATCAATATGGTTGCCCTGAACCTACGTTTCTACATAGTTGATACAATTAGATGCAGTAATTCGAAAATGACCACCAAGTTTGCCTCCGCAACGTGGAGAATGTCTACCGTAGGAAGGGCCGATCCTCCCTCGGACTGTGGTGAATGATCGAGTGAATGAGTCCCCAGACACCCACTTGGCACCTTCTGCTTTCCTTTTTCTCACTTCTCCCCCACCTTCTTTCATTCCTCTTCACCCATCCTTCCCCCCCTTTCTCTCCTCCCAGGCTCTGGTTTCCTGTTGTCATCAACCACCCTGAAAGAACCAAAATGCCACTCTCAGGCAATCGCAATGCTATTACTAGATCCATTCTTAAGGATCCTACCCAGCGAAGAAATCTGTCATCTGACTGATTCTCGCCAAAGCATCCGGGTGCCAAAAAAGGTATGAAAACAAACATTCTCATCCCACCACGCACACAGCCGACTTACTAAATCTATTGTCTCGATTAAACAGCAAAAAGCAAAGCAACGACACATGGCTGCAGCCTGAGAATGAAAATACCTTGTGCCAGGCTTCATCTGGCATTTTCTGCCTTGGCACCCGAATGCTTTGGCGAAAATCATTCGCATTGGGAGAATATTGGTGAGCTTAGACCCCACCGATCTTCCTGTCACGGAACCCATGAACACGACCTAATACTGATCCTTTGTCTGTCTTTCTGGATTAGTCGGGCATTTGTCCCTCCATGATGCCCCTGGCGCATCCGGGTGTCAGGGTAGGAAGCGCCTTGACACCCGGATGCTTTGGCGAAAATCATTCGGATTGGGAAGCCTTTGGTGAGTTTAGACCTGACCGATTTCCCTGTCTCGGGATTTTTGAAAGCGATCTAATACTGATATTTTGGTTGCCTTTCTGAATTAGTCGGGCATTTGTCCCTCCATGAACGGGCCGCGTAGTCACTGCGCTACTTTATCTCCCAAGTTGATGATGGAGGCACAGACAGCTCCTGTCATTATGCACTGCGAGGCAATATATTGTCAACTTCAAACCCTGCACTCACTGTAGGCGGTTCCAAGATGCTATTACAGTAATCTCAACCATTGGGGTTGCAGGGTTTGCTGGTTGAAGGAAAGGGCTGAAGGGGAATGTTAGGAGCTAAGGTGGTATGGGCTCTTGCTCTCACTGTCGCTGGCTGGTCGGCCTCTGCTGTGGTCAGTGAGACGAGGATTTTCACTGCACAGGTAAGTGAGTCTGTCTTCTCATACTTGAATACCCAATTCTTTGCGACTGTTGCTGATCGAAAGTTAGTAGACTGAGGGCATAGATCAGCTCAATACTGCTGCCCTTGACGCCTCTTGATGATCTTGCACAGAGGAAAACCGCTTAAACAAAATAGAAAGCTTAAGCTCGCTCTCGGGGCTCCTTGGTGAACTCCTTTAACAAGAATAATTTATCTCGACTATCAAGAAATTTCGCATCGCGCCGCCTAGAGTCGGCTTCGAAGTATTTCCATCGGACCGGGAAGGTGCATTTTCTTACTTACCATTGTGTTTGCTGTATCTCAGACACAGAGAGGGGGAGGGAAGGCAGAGAAAGAAAGAGGGAAATTAAATTTACTGAGATCTTACAAACTCCGAGAATTTCCCACAAGGCTAAAACTTCCACCAGTCTTCCACGGAGGTGGGCATGCAAAGCAGCGTGGTGTCTCTTTCACAACTCATTAGAGCCTCTGAACGCTTATCAGGGCCCCAAATTCTTGTCAGGGACTTAGTTTTCAATCTCATATCGCAGTTGGATTCATCGCTCTTGGAGGTTCACTGCGATAATGAAAATGAGAGCCGAATGAGCCACGAATCTCTCTGATAATATTGATCTACTGGCAAAAGGCGAAGATTACTAGCTGTTACCGGTTAGCCGACACGGGGCTAGTAAGCACCTAATGGAATCCTGCTCTCTCTGATATCCAAGTGAATTAAAATTAAGGAAATTTGAATATAGGCCAGCCAAGCCCCTGAACCTTGCAAAGTGCAATTCCCACGTAATTCTAGGGCTCTACGAACTGAATCATCCGGGCGCATTGCAACGTGAAAACTGAACGGGCGATAATGAACATCACCTCGCGAGATGCCACTCCCTAAGGAAGCGATCGACGCGCCCTACGGCTCAACGGACGAAACATCGTGGCTCTGTCGCAGCCCTGGGGGCCAAAAAGCTCCACCTCCAGGGCGGAGCTCGTGAGAGCCTCGTGTGAAACTCTTACTGTTGGGATTAAGGCTTCCTTGGCATGTCTATCAGCGGAGGTGATCCCCGTCCCTGACTGTTTCCAAGCCTTCTATGACTGGCTGCGCGATGCCATTAGATCATGGCTCGTGTGGCGAGACGATATTATTGGATACTATCGCGGATTCAGAGATGAGACCCACGGGGCCATGGATTTCGAGGGTCTGGGGCTGTGGTCGTGGCACGGTGACAATGACACAAGAAATTTAATCTTACGGATAGGGGTGTCGTCAAATTGCCCTTGGGTATAAATATCCCTTGTCGTCCGTGTTGCTTGCTTTGTCTGGCCGATAGTCGTATACGCATATACTTCTCACCCCCTTTGTCTGTCCTCGGATTCCCTATTGTCAATCCATACTATACGATTACCGACCGACCTTCTAAGGCAACAAAAAAGTCGAATTCATCAAAATGTCCAACGACGAAAAAGTCTGCTCTAGTACGTCTTACCTCCCAGTCAGCTCGGTTCAATGCTTTGCCATTCTAACATACCATCTCTACAGCCCCGGCTCCTCCCCTCTACGAAGAACAACCCCGCTCCCAACCTGAATTCCAACAACCAACTCTTATCCACCCACCAACCGCACACATGGCTCCTCCTATGAAGCCCCCAGTCTGGCAGCCCGGCATGCCACACCCGAGTGGTTACAACACGTCCTCTCCGCTCCACACACTCCAACGGGGACCAGCCCCGGTTGATTGTCCAGTCTGCAGCCATCGCGAAATGACGCGCGTGGAGGCCGAATCGGGAAATACAACGCAGTATGTTAATACACTGGGACCGAGAGAATTTGATCAGAAGATTGGCTAACGATGAAAAAGTGGTTGGGCGGCCGTCATCTGTTGCTGCTTCTGTCTAGGATGCATTCCCTATCTGATTTCGTCGCTGAAAGACGTCAATCATTTCTGTGGGAAGTGCGGAACTATGCTGGCGACGCACCATGCCAGTGGGAGGACCGAAGTGCATCAGACGGTGAGGCAGTGAGGAATACGGTTTTTGTTCACTATGGGCTGGGAGTTGAAGGTGTCGAGAGGGGTTTATGTGCGTGTGATACCATTTGATTAATTTTATTGGGTGTTTTTATGGATATGATGGGCTCTCAAGTTAGATCGAGATGACCATAATGTGATTGCACTTCTAAGGAGTTTAGCTGACCGAAAATAAGTAAGACCTGAAAGGAAGGGGAGACAGAAGATCAACAAGAATATTATCAAACAAGATGCTATCCAAGTTAGACATTACATATAAGAAGCAAAAGAGGCCTATACGCCACCCGCCCGACGCTCAACATACACACAACCCAACAGAGAAAGTCCAGTAACTATTCTTTTGCGATCGAACTCGACCGCTTCACATATCCCGCCCCATCCATCTCCATCAACTGTCTCGAATTACTCAATTCCACGCCTCCCATTTCCCCCGGCAACTCAACCGGCAGGCCCGTACCAGGGGGACGATACACGTGAGCACCGTCTGCATATCTCGACGTCCCGTCAGACGAGGGCACCAATGTCGTCGCCTCCGTCATTTGAGGGCCGTTCGATGAGCCCGTTACACCGCCATGCGAATAATCATATCCAGAACCAGAGCGAGGATCCGCGCTCATTGCCTGCGGCGCTGTATCTGATGCCATGACTGTGCCAGATTCATCAACCGATGGAGGTTTCTGTCGTCCCCAGAGGAAAAATATCGTCGCGAGGACGGTAACACCCGCTATGGCGCCTATCACGATCCCTGCGATCGCGCCGCCCGACAAGGACCCTGAACTCGAATCATCGTCGGAATCCGCATCGCTCGTCGATGTCGGTGTCGGTGTCGAGACCCCCGTCCTCGTCGCGGAGCTAGAGCCCTTAGTCGCGCTACCCTGCGCATCCTTTGCCGTCGTCGTCGTCGTCGTCCCCGTCTCAGTGGAAGAACTCGTACTGGTACTAGTACTCCTCGTCTCGGTGATAAACTCCTTCTGTGCATCCTTCGGCATCACATACACATCATACGCGGAAAGATTCCTCGACGCATCTCTCCGCCACCGCGTGTGCTCGCATTCCCACCCGATCATGTTCTCGCATGTCGCTTCGCCCCAGATCCGAAGACACCAGGCGCCTTCGGGATCCCAGGAGAACTCCTCGCCTTTTTCGTGGTAGATGCGGACGCATTTCGCGGGTTTGGATTCGTGGATGACGTTCGGGCCGGATTCGTTGCGCCAGACGAAGGTCCAGGTGTGTGCGATTTTGGTCAAGAGGAGGATTGTGAGGAGGGAGATGGTGAGTGGTGGAGGGGTCATGTTGGAAATCGTGGTGCGGATATAGATAGGGGGCGCAGGTGGAGGCGCAGGTGCGCAGATGGGGGAGAGTGAAAGGACGACGTCGAGGTGCCACTCTGCATGAATTGAATGCCGGGAGATATGAGAGAAAAAGTGGAGAATGGCAGGTCATGACAATATATTCTATTAGATTGACCCAGCCTCGTCAGGCTCAGGGGAAGAGGAATGGGAAATGGGCCCCAGACGCAGGAGTCATTGCGGGCTACACAATCATCCATGATGTCTTCCCCTGTCAGAGTCGAAGCGAAGCCAGAAAGTCGTATTAATCCTAGGCCTTAGTCAATGTTCTATTTCCAGAAAAGGAACAAGTTGCGGGTCAAAAGGGTACAGAGGACTCTGATATACCAGGGCAAAAGCGGATCTCATTGGCCTGGCTCATGGCCCGAGCCTTGTCGGGAAAAGGCGAGTGGGGAGGAGGGACTGGGGAAAATCTGATTGTTGATCTAAATCTCTGGGCCCTGCAGGATGGAACATCGCGCGAGGAACTGATTGGTGGTGGGTGGGTGAATACGAGGAGGACGGGATTTAGCTTCTTGGTTTCTCACTTGAGAGTTGGGGTCGTTGCTTAAGATCTTCTGGGGCCGTTTGCGAATATGTTTGTTTTAGACGTAGGATCGACTATCGCGTGCTTCGTGAGGGGATTTTGGGACTATCATGTATTGTCTTGACGTTGGCAATATATTCTGGGAGAGGCAACATCTAGGATGCGATAAATAAGACCGGATCCTGGGGACTCTTTATCTACTTAAATAACTCGTAGAATGATGTGGCCTGGAAGGAGCATCAAGGACCTTTCTTGGGGGTTCTTGAGCATTAATTTACCAAACTAGTGTATGACAGGCTTCTATTGAACGACGACAAGAATTTTAAAATGATCAATAGAGAGAGTAATCATAAGTATGTGCTCCCAATCTCGTGGTAAGTTAATGTCGAATAAAACACCAAAGCGAGAGAAGAAAAATCAAAATACAACCCTGTCATCTCATCCAGTCTCTGGCTACAACAATAATCATGCAGTGGAGGCTGTGGTTCGCTGTATTAGAAACCCAGCGATACAGGAAGCTGATTTGGAATATTCAGCAACATAGTCCTATATTCACCAGAGAACTCTCAATAACACCAAGTCGCCGGCGATCATATCCCTAGCCACTCCCGATTCAAGGGATGGAGTAGGGGATTGGACGCCGCATAAACGAGACAATTGCTTAATATTGGAAAGGCTAGAATCTAATGTTAAAGTAGATCGGATAGATCTTGTGCGTGCATCACGATCGTTGATGTTCTCCATAATTTTCTAGTCTTTTATTGTTATCGTATCTGGAGAGGCCTGGTGTAAGGCTGGTGCAATTAAAATTTCAATCTATTTACATGGTAATATGAAATTGAGTCAGTTGCAATGGCCGTGACCTGGGATCTTACTTTGATGGAGATAAACTGGAATATCCACGTATAGTTAAAAAGACGCTTTGAATTGAAGGCCAAATTTCGCAGATGAATGGAACAGATGGATCTAATAACAGAACAGCAAGAAATGCAGTGCAGAAAAAAAAAAAAAAAAAAAAACATCGTGACGGGCTTACCAGCCCCTTGATTCAACTTCAACCCCTAGATTGTCTAGATTCCCTCCTGCATCACCCTTTTGTGGCAATCTAGTTACAAATAATGACGGCTATCATTCCATAGACAGCCCCTTTCCCCCTTTCCCCCAAAACATTCAACACCAGAGCTCTATCTTGCAACTCGACAAAAATCTTGAACATGATTAAACAGGAAGAAGAAGCAGGAGCACCGGATAGCACCTCAGAGCTGCCTGTGGAGGGTACAGAGAGCGACCAAGACGATCAAGAGTATCCACCATTATGGGAGGCAATATTGCTAACGGTTACGCTGCTTCTCAGCTTTTTCTGTGTCTGTCTGGTGAGCTCACTGCGTCTTCCATGCCTAGTTTCTACATTATAAAGATGTCAACTGACTCTAGATTATTATCTAGGATCAAACCATCCTGGCGACGGCCATCCCACGAATCACCGATGAGTTCCAATCCCTCAACGACATCGGCTGGTACAGCAGCTCGTTTATGCTTGCAATGTGCGCGACCAAGATGATCTGGGGAAAATTATACATGTTCTATCCTGCTAAATGGGTCTTCCTAGCTGGACTATTTCTCTTCGAGCTCGGGTCCTTGATTTGCGGCGTGGCTCCGTCATCAGTGGCGTTGATTATCGGACGATGCGTTGCGGGTATAGGTGCTTCTAGTATAGACTCCGGCGCGATCGTGATTGTTCTCTATATTGTTCCCTTGCGAAAACGCGCGCTCTTCATCAGTTGTTTGGGAAGTGTACGGGGAATTACCAGCGCTGCAGGCCCGCCGTGAGTACAACATTCGGAGCCCTCACTCCAACTGTATACTGATGAGACAAACAATGAAGGTTGGGGGGTGCTTTCACAGACCACGCGACATGGAGGTGGTGCTTTTGGGTCAATCTGCCCTGCGGTGCAATCACCTTCATCGGAATTCTGATTTTTCTTTCGCCCAAAACGCCCTCCCTGCGGCGTCTTGATTTCAAGGAGAAGACCAAGCGGATGGACCCCCTTGGCACTCTGCTCTTCATACCGGGTATCGTGACCTTATTGATCGCGATCCAGTGGGGTGGATCCGACTTCCCCTGGAACAGCTGGCGCATTGTTCTTTTGTTCGTCCTGTCAGGCGTGCTCCTGCTAGCCTTCTCTGCCGTTCAGTTCTGGTCAAAGGAAGAGAGAGCCACCGTGCCCCTTCGAATTCTCTGTAACCGCAACATCCTCGGCGGGCTGTGGTACGTGGCATGTATAATGGGCGCGTTGCTCGTCATGATCTACTACGTGAGTCTTTCCCTCCCCAGCAAACCCCCAGAAACACACCCAGAAAATTAACAGCCTGAGGGTCTATCAGCTCCCCATCTGGTTCCAATCCATCAAGAATGTCTCTGCCACACACTCCGGCCTCATGATTCTCCCCACCGAGCTGGGAATGGTCGTCTTCTCGCTCATCGGCGGCACCCTAGTCACCCTACTTGGCTACTACACGCCCTTCATCATCCTCTCGCCCATCCTCTTCAGCATCGGAGCCGGCCTTCTCTCCACTCTCAAACCCACCTCCGGCACCGCCTCCTGGCTTGGTTACCAGGTCATCATGGCCGCAGGGGCCGGCCTCGGCACCCAGAACGCCTTCATGGTGGCCCAGGTTGCCGTGAAGCCACAGGACAGCGTGATGGCTATCACAATGGTGTCGTTCGTGCAGCTTCTCTCCGGCTCCGTGATGCTGGCGGTGTCTGAGAGCGTATTTCACACGCAGCTCTCGTCGGAGTTGAGTGTGTTGGGGAGTCGTCTCAAGAGTGAGATTGTCATGCAGGGCGCCAGTGTACCATGGGGGAAGGTCCCCGATGAGATGGTTGACGTGGTGCTTTGGGGTTATAATAGAGCTATTATGCAGACGTTTTATATAGCGGTTGCGCTTGGGGCGGTGGGGTTCTTGGGGGCTGTTGTGCTGGATTGGAAGTCCGTTAAGAGGGAGGATAAGAATAGGGCAGCCCAGGAGAGTAGGGAGAGTTTGCACGAAGTTGGGGGTGACAAAGGGCATGTAGAGATGCATGTAAGGAGGAATTCTCAAGGATTAGATAAGTAGACTGTGGATGCATGCGACGTTATGTGTTATGGCTATACGTGTACAGATCTGATCGGGCTAATCAAGAATTACGCATGGATATAGGATGACGGGATAGTTAGTTGCTTGAGATAGGATTGTACGATTAACATGAGCTGAAAAGGGACTGACCGTGTCCTTTTAAATCCTCTAACTGCTAGAACATGATGGGTCAAAATATAACTAATCAGTTGAATACAAAATAGTGTGGATCGAAGAGCTAGCTGATACTATACATGACCCTATTTCGCAAGAAAAGTAACTATAGGATTGCATTAATCTGTCTCGCAACTACTATACAACAATTTCTACCCTCTCTTGACACAAAATCTCGGCCTATCAATAGTTATGAGCTGTATACAGCCTGTCAAAAATTACTTCATCAACTCAACGTGATGGGAATTGTTAAGGACACAACAGCTTTCTGTTAACTAGAAAATGCGAGATTACATATTAATAAACTGTTATTAAGTAAGCGGTCTGTTGTGTCCGTAACAAAAAGCTGTTGTGTCCTTAACAATTCCCAACGTGATGCACTGATTATCTAATCTGTCGCGATGTATGACGTCACTATATATACGGGGGTCAAGCTCTACCCTACTAGAACTTCAACCCTATCTGACATGCATGTCAATTCCAATTCTCCTGTAGATCAAACTGTTCATAAATGCTTGATAAATGATCTAGGATAAATTGATAGGATTTCAAAGATGTCATGATCCACCTCAACCGGCGGATATGATCGAGTGGTGACGCCAACGGGATGGGCGGATCGGTGAACCTTGTCTCTACTTACAGGGATGGGGATTGTGTACCTTTCTTAGGGTGAAGGAAGTATTGAAATATATATGAGTTTTGAATAAACTGTGCTGGGTTCAAGTGTTACCAAGATGATATACATATCTGTCCGATCTACTTGAACACTCTAACATGACGAACCCAGCACGAAGAATGGAAAGATAACTCACCATTATTATAAACCCCCGTATACAAGTAACCTGACACAATAAACTTCCGTCTTTATCCCGTGGCTGCCGCCGGATCCAGGATTTTCCCCCTCCTTGACAGACCGATGACAGTGATCTGAGACGACGTTGCATACACACTCTCTCCTTCGCGTCATGGCTCTCGATTCTCGTCCTTCCTTTCCGCTGCTCCCGACATACCTGGATACAGGCTGGATAGCCTAGCTAGAGTATCCTCGTCTTTTTCTCCTATACACCGCCTCACCTGCCCTTGTGCTCTTCATCCGCAATTATTTGCTCGTGGTCTAGTTGCCGTTGCCTCGCTGGACTGACGCAGTGGGCGCGTGTTTAAAGAGAGAGATTGGTGCTGAGATACTGTTCTTTGCTCTTTCCCTCAAGAAATCTATCTTTCGTTCTTTTATGTTTTATTTTTATCCGGGCGCATCCAACGGAGAGGCTGTAGACACACCCTTACACACGATAAAATACCCTCTACCTCATCTCATCGTGAGTCCAGTTCCTCTCGAAAAAGTTGCCTCAACCAGGAGAAAGAACCCGAAGCTAAGATGTTCTTATTAGGAAGCGAAAAAGGTGACCATGGCAATGACAAAAGTCCCGGACGCGGACACTATAAGCGCAATCACTAAGCGAGGCAACTGGGCCAGCAAAAACCCCGGCGTGATTCTCGTCTTCTGTATTGTGTTTATCGTCGGATTTGGGATCGTATCGCTCTCCATCTATCGACAATGGATGTCAAGGAAGGCGAAGAAATCAGCGGTGGAGATCGAGCAGGTGTGAACGAAGGTGGATGGAGTGTGTAATTGAGGGAGGTCGATAATGAGGGGGAGATATTGAAGGGAAGGATAATGAATTGAAATATCAAGGCGGTCATGTAGTTATACCTGCTTTCTTCGGTTTTGTCTCTGTCTATGTGAGTACATTATTAATGGGTGTTATGGTTGAGATTGATAATAAATCTGGAGTTATGGAGCATTGAATGTGACTTGTTCAGGTGATTCACTATTAGTTGCTGTTGGATTTTATTATTCCCTGAGTGGAAATTTCTTGTCTTATGTTATTCATGCTGTAGTGTAGATAGTAATGACCATTTTAGGATCACCCTATCGGCCTGCATGGTAGAATGTCAGATATATCCAAACGAATGCGGCATATTCATAGCCAGAGTTATGACTTCAGATCCATGACGTCATGTAGGCCTTAGGAAGAGCTCGTACTCGCAAAGTGACTTGTGCCAAAGCCAAGAGTCGAATACGAGGTTCCAGTTGTCCGTACAAAGACCCGCTAATCAGCATCATACGACTGACTTTTTCTTTGGATACCCGAGTTCAAGAGAAGCCCATAATTTGATGTTTTTCTCTGGCGGCCCAGGACAGCACGCCGCCCCATTACAAGACCCACCGAGTCTCATCAGCAAAATCGGCGCTGGAAACCGCCATGATGTCCTCCTTGCTTAGCTTGCTGATTATACTGTCTTTCGGGGTCGCAATTTACGTCTCCCGATTCCACAAAACCCTTGGAAAGCGCGTTTCTCATGAACATCACCAGGGTGCTATTCACGAGACTCTCCGGAACACGATAACATCGATCCCGGACGCAGTCTTTTCAGACAAGTTTCACTGTTTCCATGACCGAGTTATTTGTCGAGTCTCGAAACGGGATCTTCCCGATCAAGATCTCTCAGAGCTCTTCATGCTCCTGTTGCGTCGGAATATGGCTGCTTTTGCATACTTTCCGCAAGCGTATATTCTACAGTTTATCGCGCCGCTGGAGAGGAAATGTACATTTAGCGCATGGCATATAAACTCCCTGAGGTTTCAACTAGGGGACGTGCTTAATGGAATTTACCGGGTATGCGAGCGTGAGGACAACAAGGTAGTCTACCGGATTGATGCCAAGGGTCCTATAGACGGCAGATTGGCGCTTCGGTACTGGGAGGAAGGAGACGAGGTGGTTTACTGTAGCGAGACGGCGATGTGGACTCAGAAAGCGAAAGGAAGGGAGAAACAGGCGAAGCTGCCTTTAGAGAGACCCATGCTGAGATTCTTCCATGAATGTGCGGCGTGGTGGTTGTTGGATTCCGGCACTCGGTACCTCACGGGATTGCGAGAATCTCCGGAACAATCCAAGAGTCAATAGCTGCTGTGCATAGGCTGTGATCTTTGTGTGCGCTTAGATGGAAGTTCCAGTGGAATAGTCAAGGCTTTGTGACATCTGTCAGTAATACCTAGTCAACAAAGAACCGCGACCTTCCTTTGTATTGATACAATCACATTGTCTGAACCGGAACTGTCCTGAGAAAGCACTGGCTCGCATTTCTTTAAAAACTCTTTCAAGTCCCCGAGTATTCGAGAATTCTCATCACTAACGACCTCGGTTGTTCAAGTCAACTGAAGCAAGTGCTCAAGTTCCTGGTAAGCTTTCATCACTTGTTCCTAAACCACTGAAGTCTCAAGTTCGCACCAAGTTATCCGATCACCTTACTGCCTGTTAATCAGCTGCTACGGTGAGAGGACAAAACAGCTACGCTCAATCCAACATGTGTCGGTACAAATTGCATCATTACCCTGGCTGCGGCCACATTGCCTCTTGGGGCATGGAGGGCTGCCCCGGCATCCTCAAGTCTATGGTCCAGCACAAGAGCGATATGTACTGCGAAAACTCAGAGTTCACCCACGACCTGGTCTTTGGTGTCAACTCCAAGGACTGTGAGAGGTGTAAGACTGAGCCAAGAGTTGAACTTACCCCAACCAGCGATGGTCAATGGCAGTTTACCCAGCTCGAAGGTATAGATTTGGTGTCCAAGGGATACCCTTTCAGTGGGTCTGCGAATGTCACCTTGGGAGGTATCGCCCAGAGTTCCCTCTCGACTATTCGATGTGTGCTGCACAGATGCCTTCCGATGGACTACCCCTTTGAACCGGGTTGCGAGAGCGCCGGGAGCGACGACGGGATGCAGAAGATAGACGGTGGAAATTCCCCCTTCTATGAGTCCCCCGTCGAGCTCGAAGCTCCCTCTAGAGCGCTGAGTCCCTCCCCTTTACAGTTTCAGTTTCCCACACTCGGAAAGGCAGGAGAGAATTTCCTGTCCAAGCCAAACAATAAAAAAGATGTTAAGCCGCAGCCAACGAAGAAGAGAAGAAGACCTGCGCCCATCTTCACCAACATGCGCGTCGTCACTGATGCGTACGTCGATCATCAGGTGACCCCATCCCCTGACGCAATGGGTGAGCTGTCACCTCTTCCGTCCCCGAGATTCAATGTTCCGGACTATAAAAAGCCAAGGAGTGATCCTGCAGATCTCGACGACCCTCAAAGTCCCTTCGGAACGCGCCGGACTCATTCCATCAATGGGGAAAGACTCGACCAGCCGCCTGTCAACAAGGCCACGGGCTTCTTTCAGTCCCCGCCTCCCAACCAGGCAGTGACGCCCCCTAACAGCCGGGAGAGCGAATCTGTCAACGAGGAATTTGAGCTCATTGCGCTCTTTGACAAGATGCACAAGGGGCTCGGTAATGGATTCCGTGCTAATCACGAGGTTTCATCCTTCAGTGATGACTCGGACGACGATGAGAGCTTGATTGGCACCGACGCCGAAGAACCTACAGAGTCCTCCGACCTGCACCCAGTGGACGAGTCCTATTTCATTACCCACAACCATGGGATGTTCGATAGGTCTCCAAACCAGGGCGGTGATACCGCCGCCGAGTGTAAAACCACGGGCGATCCCATAGTCACCCCGAAGGGTGTCCAGTCTGAGCGAGATGTTAGGCTTCTGGAGTTCTTTGAGGAGTGGGGTATGCCTCTGATTGCTCCCCTAGCCCCGAAGAAACGTTATAGATTCGATGAATGGGTCCAATCTTTCAGGGCCGCTCGTCGGAGATTCATTGCCCAGTCTTCTCCTACCCAGACATTTTTCGACAGAATTGAAGAAGGCTGGTCTCAGCTCCCGTTCAGCCGAGGGTCCCCGTCTCTCTCGAGAGGCCCCCTGTTGACGCCTCCAGGACTCGGATACTCGAGTCCTTTGATCCCCTCATGCCCAGTGACCCGGGACCAGGCGCTCCCCCCTACGCCTGAAGAGCCTGAGAGTGTGCCTCCAGCTAAAAAGGAGCCATGGGTGCCGCCTCGATACCGCCAAAGAACGGATCTGCCGCCTGGATACAGCGAAAGCCCGGATCTGAAATCCGACGAGGGTGTAACCTTGCCGTGCTACCCTCAAAGCTCAATGCTTCCCAAACGGTTCAAACTGGTCCATTCTCATGGGTGAGATGCTGGTAAATCGCCTCCTCTGGGCTTGAATTATGGGATGATTGGCGTTCTGGAACCAGGGTGAAATTGCCAGAAACTTTCTTTTGTGGCTTGGCGTACGGAGTTTGATTGCTCTATCTGTCTTGAAATTGTGAAAATCACAAATTTATTCATGTTGTGTTTTTTGGATGTTGGGTATGTTTATTGAAAGTTGAAGAGAAAAGGGAAAAGATAAAAAAAACCTTCAAAAATAGAATGAAATAGAGGATTGACATTGGGTTCTGGCTTTTTTGTTAAATTTGAGTGATTAAATGGACTGACTGATAAAAGATATTATGAATCTTAAGAGTACCTATACACCCAACAGGGGGGTCTATCCCCACATTCAAGGGCTTTGGACCTTACTGTACCTTACCACCATTTCTAAATCCCTCTAGAGCGCCTTAATTGATGAATAGAGAAGTATTACTTGTACCAATTTTTCTTTTTAGTTTAAGCAAAGGATATAAATATTTTCGAATCACGTATCGCCTGAGAAATCTCCCATGGACCAAATAATTTTTGAGACCACATATATTCCAAGAGCTCGCGTGTCCTCCTCACGTTACCGATTCCGATTGCCTGCATCATATTGTCTAATCTCTCGCAAAGAATCTGCTGGTTGGCTAAATCACTCACACTTGATCCAATGACGACAATAGGCCAACATAAATTGGTATTAATCGGAGCTGACTGATTGATTTGACTCAAATATTGAATGGTCTTGCTTGTTGCGGACCAGATCATTTCGTTAGCCGTGTCATTTTGTTCAATCGTGCTTCCGCGAATAGCACTGTATAATACACGAGCATGGCCTGTTAAAAGACCCGACTTGTCCGGGTTACATTGGATTTGGTTCCCATCGAGTGAGCTTAAGACGAATCGTGTTGAATTGAGCCACTTGCTCTGATGCTGTTTCAGTCCACCCCTCAATTCGGGGGTTTCTTAAGTCGAAGATGCTAGGAACGAGAAGTAGCAAACCAAGCCAACATCCACAGACGCTGCCGATGTATCCGCTTTCCACCATCACTTCAGCCATTTGCACTAATCGGTCGTTACGTATCATTTTTTGGCCGTTAGATGCGTCAATTGATATCATACTGTAGCATGCAGTATAAATGTAATATCCTACCAAAAATCTTCGTAAATCCTCAGATAATGGCGGAGTCATTGAAAAGAGAGCCCTGGGTAGCAGGAAGTTGGCCGCTGTTATGTGATCCAGATGAACGCCCGTCGAGTCACCGCGGGTAATCTGATAAGATCAATGTCAGATACCTGCATGGGAAATTCGTCAGAAGCTCCATACCTCTGTAAAACACATAATTAATATCCCGACCGTGAGGATCAAAGGGTCGATATTGTGCGTCTGTTCAACGAAATCGTTGACAGCCAACCGTAATGCCCGCACGCCTCCAATATACTCCGTTGTTGAGTCCATACAAGTAATTCCAAGTGGCATTCTAGCGCGATGAGCACAGCTCTGGGTTAGAATGAGCTGCATAATAAATGTACTAGACATGGCGATAGGAACAAGCTGCACCAGGAAAAGGGTTGAGATAGTGGCCCAACTGTCCATGCACGACGCTGTTCTCTGCAGATAATGGTTCAAGAGGTATGCGCGAGGACATGGTGTATGTGGAAAGAGAAGGGTTGGTGGCATAGCGATAGGAAGCCCATTCTTGGCTTGGCCTGGACATCTGCAATGGCGTACTCGAATTTTTCCCAAGAAAAGTCTAGACCGGTGTCATTCGGTTCATATACCTTTTGAGAGACGGCAGATGTCGCTTGAGGAACGCTGCTGCAGGGTGCCTCGATTAGAGGAGGGGTGGAAGCCTGTTTGCCACTGTCGTATCAGCTTGTGCACGAAGTCGAGTTGCCCCACCACAGACTGCTTTTCTCCGAAGAAGGTATCAAAGTTGGCCTCCACTTCAAGCCCTGCTGCCATTGGCAGTTCGGGGTGTTCGCTTTGCAAGCCGTGCACTATGGCTTCTTCTCGTCACGTTTCTTTTTCCTCGCTATACAAGTCAAACACCCCGTTTTCACACGAAGAAGAGGTATTACTGGCCGCTCGTTGGTGAAAAACATTTCGGAAACAACCGAGGCACAGGTTGAAGTGAGCTCAAGCGAATTGACTTGAGAGTTATGTGAATCGATGGACTCCAATTGATTTTTGTGAAATGTCCCCAAGGCAATCTGCCGAGTAAGAGGAAAGTTAATCCAATCCGACAAGCCGGTCTCGTTTAATCCCCACGTCCATTACGGAAAAATATCTTCAATCAGGCAGGTGTTCCGCATAACCTCGCACTCATAGCATCGACAGAAGGTTATGTGCGATTTTGATGTCTCCGGGGAGAAAACGATTTAAAGCTTCGACCGTGATGGGGTGAATGAAGATGATGGTTATTTGAGCAGGAAATAGAACGCATATTTGAGTTTGCGCGGCAATTCTAGCTACTTATGGTATCGGAAGAACACTGAAATAACCGGCTATCCAGCCGTGGAATTTCTATTATCCTAACACGAAACCCATCGACATTAGCGGGAAATGCGTTCAATAAACCATTCCAGGTTAGAATAGCCGCGGTACATGAGAAATACCGAATGCCAGTGGCTAAATCGGGCCCGTAACCCCAGTCCTCCGTTGATCCAAGCTATGTACTGAACATGAACATGAAGTTGACAGTGATTCTTCGCAGATGGGTAACTTTATTGCAATGGCTTTGATATGAAATACTTCACTGACGTAAAGAATGAAATACGGGAGAGACAAGCCAATGTGCAGAAATTTGCCACCTCACAGCCCAAGTCAATCAATGACTTCGAAATTGAGATGGCACCTGGTGTGCACTTGGGACAGAAGAACATTCCAATCTCATCGGTGGGCGCGTTTGTACCCCTTCTCGTACCTATTTCAAATCCACCAGTCTCTAACCCTCTATAGATATATCCCCGGCGGAAATTACCCTCTGCTCGCATCCGCCCACATGACCATTTTGACAACCAAGGTTGCACGTTAAGAATTTAAGAATGTGGTCGGCTGCACCCCGCCTATCGCACGAGAGATTCCAAATGCCACAGTTGCGGCAGTGCATTATGCTGGAGCCGACCAGATCTATATTCTCGGGGGTGTTCAGACCGTGGCTGGAATGGCCATCGGTACCGAAAGCATCCTTAAAGTAGATTTCATCGCTGGCCCTGGTAATGCATTTGTGGCTGAAGCAAAGCGTCAACTCTTTGGTAAATTGGAATTGATCTTTTTGCTGGCCCCACCGAGGTCCTGATTGATGCAGATGATGCAGCCGATCCTTTCACCGTCGCGACCGATCTTCTGTCTCAGGCAGAACACGGTCTTGATTCCCTTGTTGTTCAGATCACAACATCGGAGGATGTTGCAAACAAGACCATGCGATATATTGATCAGTTGTTGAAGAATCTGGAAACTGCGCGTTTAGCAGGTGAGTCTTGGAAGAATCATGGCGAAGTGGTCGTGGTGGACAATCTCGACGAAGCGTACAAATTAGCCGGCGAATATGCACATGAACACGTTCAAATCCTGACAAGAAACCCGCGTGATGTTCTTGAGAAGATACAGCACTATGGTGCTTTGTTCCTGGGCGAGAAGACTTGCGTTTCGTATGGTGACAAGGCATGCAAATAAGACATATTCTTTCAAATAAGATGATACTTACAGAGGAACAGGTGATCGGTACAAACCATGTGCTTCCCACCCGCAAAGCAGCTCGGTACACTGGTGGACTATGGGTAGGAAAATTCCTTCGCACTGTCATATACCAAGAGATCACGTCGGATGAGGCCAGTGGCAAGCTCGGCCAGCTATGTGGAAGAGCTGCACGTACCGAAAACTTCGAGGGTCACGCCCGCTCCGGAGATTTGCGCGCACACAAGTACCTCAACGATGAATATAGGTGGATCAAGCAGGGTCTATCTCGCCCTCAGCACAACCTTTGAAAGCCAGTGAAAGATGACCATGAGACTCAGCACAAGTAGGTCTTCATGGAGGATTCTAGAAAAAGTTAGGGAAACTAAAGGAAACTTCGAAACTATTTGCTCATATGTGGTTTAATAATGAAAGTAGTTGTTAAATGCTATTTAAACAAGATCGAATTATGCTGGGAAAATCGCCAAGGGGCTAATTTCAGCGCCCTCATGAGACCGTATCGATCTGGACAAAATGCGCAAATTGTGAGCCTGTGGGCTGGTCTCATGATCTAGTCGCTTGGGCTCGCTAGGGGCGAATGAAGTTCTTTGCCCTGTCTCTGCAGAGTATAAAAACAACAAAATATAGATTCCATGTGCCCGACGAAGGTAATGACTTTGTCTTCCTTCTTTCGCTTCCGCATTGATGATTCTCTTTTGAATTAGAAAACCACAGCACCGAGTTAGCTGGACAGGTGTTGAATGGAAGTGTCGGCAACGCTAGTTTGTTCTGATGCTTGTGTGGATCCAGAACCCAGGAACAAAACTGGTCAGTCCCACTTTCGACCCCTCAAAGCTCTGCAACGGTGAACAGTGCACCAGGAGGCTATCAAATATCAACCAAGCTAGATGGTTCTAGGCAACTAGGAACACTAAAATATGTCCGTGTCCGTGAAGGAGTAGAGCATACATCCCCGTGTTGTCTGGGAATGCCGACATGCAGAACCTCATCTCCTCGCCCGACAAGGAAACTACTTCCCGACAATAGTATTACCCCAGGTCTCTGTATCCTGATGAGCCACAATATAAAGTACATCTTCTAGCCCAGATCCAAATAGCCAACCCCTCTGAATAATGTCCCTGTGCACCACCGTCTCTGTCTGACTCGCCCAGCAAAGCAATTTACACCGCACGTCTTGGCACGCCAAAACTCTTGGCAACTGGGTCTGGCGAAGTGACAATTTCCGCGAACCACGCCAGGGGACGTTAGGCTGACCTTGAAACAACATGTCTTAGCTGTTGCACACCATTAGTGCAAGATTTAGGTGTTCGCCGGCTCTCAGGGTTCCATTGCCGAGTTTGCCCGTTGAGGTTGGTCAAACGACGATCCCCTTTAGGCATTTCTCCGACGTTTCTACTTGCGTTCGCTTAGGATTCGAGTCTTACGGTCATCGATGATTTGACAGGGGGTGGGGGTTTAGCGGAGGAGTCGCCGTGTCAGTTACCTCTACTAGTACCCTGACTATGGACTGTCTTGGATGCTGCTTGAGTCGATGGGCTATTTTTGGGTCGGGGAGGGAATATATCTGGGTATTTAAAGAGGACGGGGTTCGCTCTGTGATACGGAGTTCCTACTCCAGTGAATCCAGATTTCTCGAGTGTTCCAATCAACATAAAACATCATGAAGGCTGCCGTCATTTCCAGTCTTTTGGCCCTTGCGGCCCAGACTGCCTACGCCCAGGTCAAAGGCACCCCGGAGGGTTTCGCGGCCGGAACTACCGGTGGTGGTAGTGCTAAAGCTGCCACGCCGTCCAGTCTACAGCAGTAAGGACTCTTCCATGATGCAATATTCATCTATCACACTCCCATCCTAATGCTCAATATCTCAGGCTCGCCGAGTGGATCACCGACAGCACTCCCCGTACCATCCTGATCGACCGCACCTGGGACTTTGCCGGCACCGAAGGATCGACCTCCGGCCAGTGCTGCAGCACCAGAACAACTACCTGCGAAGGCGGCACGTCGAAGGGTCAGGCTTGGATTCAGGATAAATGCGATGATGGCACCTGGGTGTCCTGCACTTATGACAACGCTGCTCGCAAGCCCTTGGACGTCGGCTCCAACAAAAGCATCGTCGGTGTTGGTAGCAAAGGTGTACTCAAGGGCAAGGGATTACGTATCCGGGGTGGTAACAAGAACGTTATCATTCAGAACGTTCACATTACAGTAGGCGTTGGCCTTCTCACAAAGGGCAAAGATTCAATGACTGATATCGGCGCAGAACTTGAACCCTCAGTATGTCTGGGGAGGAGACGCCTTGACTCTGGACGGATCAGACCAGGTCTGGATTGACCACAACAAGGTATGCATGCTTTTAGGATTCATAATCAAGATAATCTGCCCTGACATCAAGGAATAGTTCTCCCTAACGGGTCGTCAACAAATTGTCAGTGGCTGGGGCCAGGCCGGTCGCGTCACCATCTCGAACAACGAGTTTGACGGCCGCACCGAGTGGTCTGCTGGATGCAACGGCAAGCACTACTGGACTATGCTTCTCATCGGCGAGAACGACCAGTACACCTTCTCGGGCAACTGGGTTCACGACGTGTCGGGCCGCGCTCCCCATATGGGAACTGACAACACCGACTCGAAGATCTTCTTCCACGGCGTGAACAACTATTTCCAGAACATCGGCGGACATTCGTTTGACATCGACACCAACACTCATGTGCTGCTTGAGGGCAACTACTTCGATAACGTCGATACTCCCCTGACCGACACCTCGCTCAAGAGCGGCGCCCTGATCTACAACGTCCCGACCGTCGACTCTGCCAGCGCCTGTACCCCCGATCTGGGATACATTTGCGAATGGAACCGCCTGAGCAACTCGGGCAAGTGGACCTCCAAGACCGACAAGGCGGTTCTAACCAAGGCGGCCGAGTATAAGAACTCCTTGATTGGTCATATTGGCGTGGCTGATGTGCCGGCGAAGGTCAAGGCCAATGCGGGTGTTGGGAAGATCTGATTCCTACATAGCCAATCTTCTCTGCAATTCTGGAGTATCTAATGGAACTTCTCTTCTTACTCTAGTTAATGATTATATTTTAATGCCAGAGTTGATCGGGCCCTGAGTCTTCCAACTGACATCATCGCTACCAAGATCGCATCTTCATCTCCATCCCTTGCTTCATCATCACCAACCTCACTTTGCCCAACCTCCGTGGCTTTGTATAAAATGCCTCTGTTACGCTCTACATCGCCAGCAACTTCAATGTACCTCTTAAATTCACCAGCCATGCCAATCCGCCGATAATTCCCCGAATTCAAAATGACAATCACCCTCCTCATCACCGGCGCCACGGGCAAGCAAGAATCCGCCGTCATCACGAATCTGATAGCTCTAGACGCAGAGGTAGAGATACTTGCCGTGACACGCAACGCACAGTCCCGACTCGCCCGGAATATCGCCGACAAATCGCCCAAAATCAAGCTCCTTGAGGGCAACCTCGATGATCCAGAGGGAATCTTCCGTGCCGCGAAGAAGATATCTTCTGGCCCAGTATATGGGGTATTCAGTGTGCAGGTACTTCCGTCCCTAGCTTTATATCTTTCACCCTTACCAAAATCTCCCCTGTTAATTCCGATAATAATTTGACGAATTCCGTATGTTAACTAAAACCAGACCCCCAGCAGTAAAAACACCGAAGAACGACAAGGTAATGCCCTAATCGATGCCTCCCTCGACCATCACATCAAACACCTCATCTATAGCTCCGTCGACCGCGGCGGCGTGAATAAAAAAAAAATTATGCAATATCCTTTATTTGCGGGTTAAACCGGCTTCGATCCGGCATCAATTTTCCTGACAAGAAAACTCTGACGACATCTCCACACCGACCCCAGTCCCCCATTTCCGAAGCAAGCACGTCATCGAACAACATCTCTTCCATGCCACGCGATCTAAGCCAATGGACTTCACCGTTCTCAGACCCGTCTTCTTTATGGATGACATCGCCTCGGGGCTAACGGGCCGCATGATAATGACAGGTCTAGACGCATACATGCAAGGTAAACCGATCCAGATGGTCTCGACCAGCGATATTGGGTATTTTTCGGCGCAGGCGTTTTTGCAGCCTGAGAATTACAGGAATGTTTGTCTTTCGGTGGCGAGCGACGAGGTCACATATGCACAGGCGCAGAGTCAATCAATCAATCAATCAATCAAAATTCTATTAACCTGGTGGAGCCTATCTATTGAAAAGACAGGCTATGCAGGCGCTTCGCCGAATGAAGCAGAATCTCGAGCCCGTGCGCCATATAAACCAAATGCAGTAGACAAAAGAGATCAAAAAGTAACACAACTAAACCGGCTGCCACACGCCTGCCGCGTGCCTACTGCGCCCTTAGACGCTGTTCTCTCCTTCCACTCCGTTCTATCTGTGGTATTCCAGTGGGATCCACTGTTCCTGTGTGCGTCATGTAGCCAGTTGAGACTTCCTGACTCTTAGTGTTCAATATAACCATCGTCTTCCTCGTTTAGATCGAGTCCCTCTAGGAGGGTGCTGGGTTCCGGGACCTCCTTGTCCTTCTCGTCGTTAAACGTGGCGGATCGGAACTGCTGTAGGAGGCCTGTTCGTTGCATGAAATCGGCGAGGTAGCGTATCGCCTGCGGGTGGTTCATGACTGCGTCGTAGTCCTGTATACGCCCACGCAGTCCCTCGATAGAGTCGAGACGTTCCATCATTATTCTTCGACTGGCGAGGTGCAGCGAGCACTCCATAAGGACGTGTTTAGGCGTTTGAGAACCTAATTCACACCCGCAGCGGTCGGAGTCGACCTGCTTTATCTTGAAGAGAAAATGCCTCAATCCGATCCTCATAGTGCGCATCTGGATGATTATAGAAGTCTGGGGCTTGCTCAGGCCCTCGTACATCCTTAAGACCTTCTTATTCGGCTTCGGAATCAGCCGTTTGGTAGGTTTTCCAACCTGTTGTCGCTCCCACCACTTCGCCCACTGCGCCTGGATTCTCCGGCGGACGTCAGTTTTGGCTGCAGCTGCGAGCCTCGTGATTAGCCGAGCGGCCAGCTCCCTTGGCCCTACTGAGCTTAATTCAATCCCCTTTATCGCGGCTCGTTTGGCTGCCTCGTCAGCCCGTTCATTCCCTTCTACACCGATATGCGCCGGGATCCAGCGCAGCTCCATATCTCCCTGCTGCAGGCCCCCGTCTCTCAGGGACCTGATCCTCTCGTAGATAGCCCGTAGTACGTACTGGCCTGATGGTCGGCCAGGGTTCTGCACGGCTCGAATGGCCGCCTGACTATCTGAAAAGACTGTGATCGGGGCAGCCTCTGCCCACTTCAGGGCCATTTTGACCCCCTCTAGCTCCCCCACGTACACAGTGGAGTCAGCCGCAGCTCCTAGGTATTTCTTGCGGACCTTCCCGGTCCGATTCGAGACTGCAGCGCCCCCTACGTGGCCGTTAAAGCCGCTGCCGTCAGAGTACCAGATCTGCCTCCGGCTTTCCTGGCAGATCCTGTCGTGTTCCTGGACTGCGCTGTCCGCTCCCTTGATCACGCAGTTGAGTGGGAGCTCCCACGGGGCGAGCACGTGCGCCTTTCGGGACTCCCACGTAGCCAAACTTCGGCTTCCGGTCCATAGGGGGACCCCCTTCCTCCACTTCAGCGCCTCCATGGGGGACCACCCTGACCGTTTTATCTCCGCTGGGCTTCTCTTCCTTAGCACAGACACAGAGCATGATGAGAGAAAAGATGGGGAAGGAAAGTGGCATTTACATCGCAAGGGGGATGACAAATATTTGTACACATTTGCGTATTTCTGGTTCATCGAATTCTTTGGGGGTGTACTCATCTCCCTCGTCGTTGAGTTGGTCCGTAGTGTGGTCTCGCACTGTTGGAAGCGTCTTGACGAGGGTAGTTTTCGTCGGCGTCGTCTTGTCCGAGGGCGATGCCTGCGGGGGCGAAACATTCACGCCGGCGTGGGGAGGAAGTGGCTGGGTTTGCATCCGAGGAGTCTGCACATGAAGACCAGCCGACTGTGCCTGATCATTCGTGTTCGCGGTGGAGGGCTGCGGCGCTCAAATGGACGAATTGCATCAATCAATTCAGTGGCTGAAGCGCGTCGTCCGACTCGAGGAATTGCCAATCAGAAAGAATCATTCAGGTCATAAAAATGATGCTATTACCTGCGTCCAACAGGCAGGAATGCACCACAGTCCAAGGAAAAAAGAAAAAAAATCATCAGTTTGCTTTTCTTTATTTTCGACGAGGCGGCATTGCTGTCTCCTATAAGCTCCCTGGAGAGGATGATCACAGATAGTCTGTCTAGCAACTAACAAGAGCGAGAGAGGGCGAGTGTTTAACTCGTCGCTGCTTGTCCGCCAGATAAAAAGAGTGAGCATTTGACGGGCTATTAGAAATCTCAAGACGATCCAGTCTAGGTCAACACTGTAGGTCGCAGAAACTTTGATTACCAGGTTGACGGTTACATGACCTTTCAACCACATCCAGTCACGAACCTTCCACTGAAGTTTACAAAATTGACCGACCTCTAGGTGGCTCGGCGTATTGTAGCGTCCTACTCCTCGCCTAAGATTAAGAATTCGCTCAAAGTGGACTACAAGCATGATTTTGATGCTAGTGGAAAACCACGTAGAGGCCGCATGCCACGCGGGAACGCTGTGGTCGTTAAGTATCGAGCCCGATTATTCGTATCAGCAGTTCGGTATGGATACCTGCTCTGATGGGGAAAATTGGCCAAGGTGTATCCTTGGTTAATTAAGAACCCTCCCTCCGCGGGGGCTCCGCTCAACATGCAGCTCTGGATAAGAGTCTGCGAGCTGAGAGAACCTCCGTATCCTCCTGTCAATAACAACTCTTTCCTGTATCTTAATCGGTCGTCAAGTTCATCATTTTCGTGCATTCCATCGATTTCAGTGTTCATCTTACAACACTCTACCTTTGGCTATGTATCTTGGGAAGTTCGCTCCCAGATACGCCGGTCCTATTGAAGTGGAGAAATTGATCAAAAATGGAATAGCTTGTCGTTTGAAGTTACCATGACAGTGGAGGGTGAACCCGGTGGTATACAGTATGACATTGATATCCAAAACCCACGTAAACAATGAAAAAAATCGATAACATCCAGCACCAACGCCCAAGCCCCAAATTAAACTGAAATAAATCAAGAGAAAGTCATAATAACCCCAGTAGGTTGATGGCTGAGCTTCGCTTCGACTTTCGCATTTTCCGATCCATCCCCATCAAGCTATAAACCGCCATCTGCGCACCCCGGACGCCATAATCAGTCGTCACGACGACCTCATCTTCCATGTCAACAAACTGTCCGACGAGGCCTAGATTAGTCATGCCTTCTGGTATTACATGCGGTCGGTCACCGGTGGCTCGCGGGAGTAGTGTAGCCGTCATACGAGGAACAACGCAGGGAATTGTGATGCTTTCGTCAAGAATCCCATCGGCAGGAAGCCTGAGGTGACCGAGAAGCTCTGTCATGATCTCCTCTCCGGAGCAATTGACCATTGGCTTCTTTATAAAGTTTCCTTCCTTGTCTGGATGCAGGGCATAGCCCCAGAAGACTTGGATGTTGGACGGCTGGTCCGGGAAAAGAGGCTGTTCGGGAATGCTGATGCTAATCAACCAGCTGCTATCTTTAAGGGTGACGAACGACGCGCTGCCCGGTTGGTCGCCTGTAATTTCGATGAAGCGCTTGAAGAAGGTATCAGATCGCAGAGTGACGGTGAAAGTCTCAAGTCTCGATTCTTGCATGCGTGTGCAAAAGTTGTATGCGTTCCCGAACTTTGGGTGTTTGGTGCTGAGCTCCAGCCATAGTAGCCAGTTCTCGTCGAGGTCCTTTTCTACCTCCATCAGTTCAAGCGAGGGAGATTTTGTATTAGTTCCCGTCGTTGAACCGGACATGATGGATCCGAGCGAGACGATGACGATGTCATTGCCGCCTAATGTGATGGTGTGCTCTGGTTGTCCGTCTTTGACGCATTTGATCGCTGCGACCCGGCCGCATTCATTGCGTGGTTCCATGATGATATCTGTTACTGTGGTATGGAACTGAAAGTCGACGCCCCGAGACTCGAGGAATCGCGCAACCGGGGACATTATGGAATCGTGTCGATTGAAGTGTCCCCGATCGAGCGGACGAGGACAATTGAGGTTATGGAGATCATGCATGAATCGACCGACGTAGCGATGGAATTCGGCAGCGCTGTGCCAGGGCTGGAAACCGAATCTAGCTCACCCCGAACCAAATCAAGTTAGCAATGGCTTTGAAAACACGAAGTGCCAGAAAATCACAAAGGAAAGCGTACGTTGTGGCTAGCGTCAACCAATAATTACTCCGAAAGAAGCCATCGCTGAAATATTCCTGAATGCGCGATCGTCCCAGTGAGTTCTCCGTCTTTGATGTCAACATGAAAAGATCCATCCGATCTCGTAGTCCCAGATTAACACTCTTCGTCGCAATGCGACATAACTTTTTGCCTTTTTCTGTAAGAAATCGGGTCCCAGATCCCTCTGCCACCGGGTGCGCCTGATCATATTCGAGTATGTCGTCCAAAGCAGTCTTTCCCTCGCGCGACTTGGACGGTACCAGCGACAATAAGTCTTCGACGCACACATCATTAAACGCTGGCATTGCGCCCGCGCGGTATTCATATCCATTCTCCGCATCACCGCCGTTAGCCGTACTCCCTCCCGCAACGCTCAGCGTCTCTAGGATATGTACTCGGTTCGGCGGCACCTTCGCCTCCTCGATCAAGTGAACGGCAGCTGTGAGCGAAGGGAGACCACATCCCAGGATCCAGGCATCCGTATCACCCGGTGGACGGATCGGTAGCGGAACGCTGCTTAGACTGCTTTGAGACGACATGGCGGCGAAGAGCGTGCATGGAGGTGATGGCCGCGGTGCTGGTTATGGGGGATATAATTCACACGAACGTTGGAAATGCGGAGAAGTTATGACCAAATCCCTAGGCATATTTGCTTTGTCTGTTGCTCCAATTCCCGGGTGGCGAGGATCTGGGTGTGATGTCAGATGGGGATAATGGGCTGGGCGGTTCCCCGGAAGAAGGCGCCTCCCATTAGGGCTGGACCGTTCAAGGGGACTCGGACCCGTGATGACGACATGACTTCGTCTTTAAGTGATACAATGATTTAATTGCTCGTGCAAGTACCAGGGATATATGTCCTATCAAAAAGAGTAGGTGCGACTTAGAGTCCACAAGGTGTATCCCACCTATCTATACATCCGCCTCAAACGGCCGCTTTTTCGTCTGCCTCCACAGTTCATCTTTGATGTCCTGCACTGTCTTTCGCCCCTTTCCTTCGAAACACTTCGGTCCTAGATCTGCCGTGTCATATCCGTTTGGATAGTATTTATCGCCCTCATCCCCGGGCAACGGCAACCCCAGCATCCGACTAATCCACGATCCCGGTCCCCATCGATTGAGGAAGGTAGGCTGCACATAGTACGGCGCAGCGACCCAGATGCGCACATAAAAGCGACCATACTCATTCGGCTCGTCGGTGAAAACATCCGAGCGGAGGAAATACGGACGAGGAAGCGATAGACGTCGAAGGAAGAATTTCCGCGTGCCCATGAGAGACGAGAAAATGAATCGATAAATCCAGGATGGTCGCTCATACCTGCAAAAGCATCGTACCATTAGCAACCGAATATTGACACAAAAACGAAAACCAGCAGAATTAAAAAGGGATCTCACATCATTGCCTCCCTCAACCGATCATCCATCGTACATGACGCGATTCGAATCCCGAAATTCTTCAATACCCTTGGCAATGGATAGACCAACACATCCATCGTCCGATCTGCTACCTCCTTATTCACCACGTTCGGCTTCATATTATCCTCCTCATACTTCCGGCTCCATTTACCAATCTCCTGCAGAAAATGCAACCCATCGTAGAATCCTGTCTTGCCTGACGGTAGCTGGTCATAGCTAATCCCCAGAGCATCGCCAAGGTACTTCCAGTACGTTCCAATCGCGCAACGCTCTAGGTCGCTCATACTGCGCCACTCGAACAGATCCACGAAGCGGATCGGCTCGAGAGCAAACAGACTCAGCGTGTACAGCATGTCGTCTTCCAGGATTTTGCCACTGTTCCGGTACCCGATGTGTAGGAATCTTGTGCGAGCAATAGCGGTGATGGCGCGGTCGGAGGTCGGCTCAAAGGCCATGAATTGACCGATCAGGGCGCCAGTGTCGGCGTACCGCTTGAAGGATGTAGATGTGTTTGAGAACTGGGATGTTTTGTGGAGCAGGGAGGATATGGATGGGATGCCGTAAGTCTGAAGTCGTTAGGATAGAGCCAGTGAATTAGGGCTTGCAGGTCAGGTGGATGGGTGCATACTCGAAACAGTGCAAACTGTAGCGCCTTCAGCCCGGCGGACGGGAACTCCAGTTGGAGCATATGTTTCTGAATCGCCCATGCATCGTGGATAGTCATGTTCGCCATATCCTCACGGCGAGCATATCTGCGATATTGACGCTTGACGGAACGCAGTCGTTGGAAGCGCAGAGATGCTACCATCAGGAGGTAGGTGGCTACGACGCCAGCAGAGGCAGCGATGCGTTCCCAGGGATCGTTCCATATGGTAGATAAAATTGACTTGATTGGGATATTCTCCAACATTGCGAGTTTCTTTGACACGGCGTTCTTCATGATGGATTGTTAGTATGTTTTCGATCAAAATCCATACACCCATCCGCTCCTTTATATACCACATCTCATCAATACTCCAGTCGTACAATTATCTCATGTATTATCATGTATAAACTAAGCATAAAGACATAAAAAGGTATCTCACCGGATCACGTTACATCTCCATCAGTCCACGACCCTGCGTATCGAACACGATGCTGCCGAAACAAGCTATACTCCCTTAACCCCGGACCAAAAGTATGCCCACATGCGTCGATCCCAGCGGCAACGCGGACCGAGGATCAAGAAGAGCGGGGCCGTCACCCACCAACACGTTGCTCTGTAGTGTGTACTCCATACAATCAATCTACCTATGTAGCATGAACCATGCGGTGCTCGCAATCAGGCACAGTGCCAAACTATTCGGGCTGACTGACTCCTTCTCCATCCTTGCCCGTCAACCGAGGAACAAACCATGCGTGACCAGCACGAATCAAGATCTACGTGTTAGACATCGGATGAGACGAAGCCGATGTCGTACGAGTGTTGATCCTGAAACTAATGACTTCTTTAGGTTTGAAGACGTGCGATTAGAACACTGTTGGCGTCGGAGGGCAAGACGGCAATGTCGGGAGTCGGAGTCTGGGGATGCGATGCGGGGAATTATGGCAATGGGAGTATGTAATTTGGGGAGATCCATTCGCTGGTAGTGTCATGGATGAGTTCATGTGAGTGGTTAGTGGATGGGTCGCACGAATCATGGACCTAATATCGAGGGATTGATCTGCAGGGCTGATAAGATGCGTATTGAATACGATGATTGATGCTGGTGGGTCTGAAAGACGTACATGCATAGTTTGAGTGGAGGAGAGCTTCTGCACACAATTCTTTTTTGTGGGTATGTTCCGAATCAGGTGCTCTTGACACCTTCATGTGAATGTCTCTCTTGACTCCTCGTTATCCCGGAAACTCAGGGATGTCACGCATGTTGTACATTCCTTGGAGTACAGGATGATCGACAATGAACCGACAGAACAGAAGCAAGAATCCCATTTTCAAGCACTGCCATGATGGAATTTCAAGTATCTGATCCAGCCTTTCATGGCGAACAGTTCTCTAATTAACGAATAGTGGGGGAAACATCTATTGTTTATTACCATTCATACGAAGCCTTCAGTACTAGGGGGGTACAAAGAAAAAGCAGAAAGAAGTTGTCTATGCAATTATCTTAACAACATAATCAATCACCATGGGCTTTCGCGGAATGGGTACACAACCCCGTTCAGCACGAACAACAAACCTATAGTGATAACTATGACTACCGCTGGCTACCATGATTTCTCGGGGACCTCCTAGGATGGAGCCTGTGCATCATTCTTAGTACGGCGGCGCTGGTGCGACGTGAGGGCAACCTGGTTGCGGCCGCTATTCCTTCCTCCAGATTCTCAAGATCCTGCTGCGATATTCCCATCGGATCAGCTGTCGGTTCAGGTTGAGCAGCGCCCTCCACCAGCGTTCGGCCTGACAGGCCAGACGTACTTATTGCGGGCGAGACTATCGGAGTTTGCTCAGATGAACCAGATTGGCCCGATGTACTCTGTGTTCCTGACGTCGGATCTTGGCATGACACACCTCCATGACCGGACGAATCCCCTTGGTTTCCTGTGTCTTTCTGGCTAGTTGCGCCTCCGTGGGCTTTTGTTCCGCCTTGTGTTGCTGATCTTTCTTGAGCGGGTGTGGCTCTCTGAGTTGGTCTTCCTTGAGTCGCAGACTCTACATGCTCTTGTCTTGATCTAGACCGGCTGGGAGACCATGAACTTGATCCAGTCTCTTCTTGTGCTGGTCTCCTCTCGTCGTCTCTGCGGACTCCGTGTTTGTCGCTTCCGCGAGGAAACCCGCGAAAAGACATAGCATGGGAATTTATATGGAAGGAAAAGGATTGATAACTGGAGAATGGTAGTAATGGGTGGAACGAAGTTTGTTTTGAAAGCAAATCTGGGCTCAGGTATAGAATATGATGGTAGCTGTTGTTATTCTGTGATGCATGTTCTCGTAGTCTCTTCATTCTGTGTCTTGCTTGAAGAAGGCAGGGGCCGCACGGCGTTCATGCAAAGGAGTAGGTGAGGACCACAATCAATCAGTCCATTCCTTCCATTACCGAAAAAGATGTAAACAACAAAAGAATAGGGGGAAAGAATCAAAGAAACAGGAGACCTGAGTTTGTCCCTACCACTTACTGGGGTAGAGCTAAAACAACTGGGGCTTGGTGACAGGTGCAACTTATTGTGAGAGTTTTCATCATTTCTTTTCTGATCTGATATTCGCACTACGTTAGCTATTATCTTAAATGTTCTGGTATGCTAGCATATTATCACAAGCCATCTGTTCATGCATCGCCTTTCAGCAAATGGAGAGTTAACTTCTTGTATTGCTGGACTCCTTCTAGCAGCTCGCTCAGCTCGATCTGCTCTTTTTCTCCGTGTGCCACCAAAATCGACCCAGGCCCATATAGATACTTCTTGTGGTTGCCCTTGAAACGAGGTACATCCGTCCCATACGACACTGGAGCCGTCTCAAAACCTGCAGTCGTGAGCGCCTGTCCAACAACAACTCATAGATATCACTTACCTTCAACATCATGATCCAACAGTGTTTCAGGGTATTCAAATTTGAATTCATGTCGAACATTCGGATGCCGAGAAGCGACGTCCGCGACAATCTTCTTGATCCCATCCATGTCAGTCGCCACGCGAACAGCGCAGAGAGCGGTACTAGTTGCCGGCACAATATTATAGCTCACGCCTCCTTCAATCTTCCCGATATTGAGGTTTGACGGGCCTAGAAGTGGCGATTCAGGAAACTCGGTCGACAGGAAATCATTAAGAGCTGTGATTAGCGCCGTGTTCGCATTCACGCCGTGATGAGGGTATCCTGAGTGGCTTTTCCACCCGTCAGTCAATCAGTCAATCGCAAATCGTCAAAGTAAACTCACCAGGCCTTTCCCTCCGCAATCAGCTCAAAGACTAAATGTCCCTTATGTCCAACCACTAATTTCCCCTCGGTCGGCTCCCCAAAAACCACCCCCTCAAAGCTCAAGCCCTGGTCATTTGCCGCGATCATCCCCGGCCCCCCTTTCTCCTCGCCCACGACGAACAGCAATCCCACATCTCCTTCCTTCACGAGACCATCGGCGCGCAGCTCCTCTAATGCACAGATCTGCGCAGCCATGGGCCCCTTGTCATCGCAGGCCCCACGACCGTAGATCGTCGAACCCTCGATACGCAGCGGAATGTGCGGCGGTACGGTGTCCATATGCGCGGAGAGACAGGCGCGGGTTTTTCGCGTAGAGCCAAGATATGCGTAGACATTCTCGCGGGTCGATTTATCTGCGATCGGGAGTCGTTCGACGGTGTAGCCTAGCTGAGTGAGATGGTTGTCGAGAAACCGGGCAACATCTTGTTCGTGGTCGCTGTTGCTGGGCACTTCGATGAGGTCGCAGAGGAGGGAGAGGACCGGTGGTTTATTCATTTTGATGATTACTGGGATCAATTGCCTGAGATAAGTGGAAATGGTGTCTCGTGTGACGGACAAAGAGCAATGCGAAGAGAAGTAAACATTGAAGAAGTGAGGGGAAAGCAATGGGATGCGGGGTGTGACACGCGTGACGTTCTCGTCCGAGACATCCAGGCATCAAGGCAGCAAAGCATCACCCGGCGATGCGCCGACCAAGGGAATCACGTTACGCATGTTGATCGGTAAAGATTTCGAGAGCAAGATGGCCCTAGGAGTGTCTATTGAGAGTAGTGAACATCTAATTAAACAGAAGTTGTTTTCACGAGACTGACGATCCAACATCGAGACTACTGTATCCTGTGTGTTATAGATCACGCTTTCTGATAACCTCCACATAGGTTCTAGTTACTACGCCCAGTAGATGTACGAAAATTGCAAAAATTATGCCTTCATAGTTGAGAACCTAGCTAACACCACAGCCTAGATACATTCGGGACATTGTCTCGCATATAGGTCAAGAAAAAGCAAATAACTCCGGTTTATTATAGTATTCCCAATTTTGATGGGCCGACTTGTGATAAGCTCAACCCAATCCTAGCCATGCCATTGATGCACGGGCTTACAGGATGTTGAGGAGGCCAAGCTCGAGCAGGGCGCTCTTGGCGCAGCCGTCACCAGCCTCGACCAGGAGGGCCAGATCGATGGTGTGGTTCTCCTCAATACAGGTGTACTTGTTGGTGACGCTAGAATAAGACCGTTAGGACAGATCCTGACACAGATAAGGCATCTTGATGGTGGAGGAAACTTACTACTCGAGGTGCTCGATGTTGATGGTCTTGCCGTCATCGCTGGGCTTCTTCTCGTCGGGCTTGTCGTCGCCGGGGGCCGGGGCAGCGTAGGCGGCGCCCATAAGGAGGACGGTGGAGAGGGCAGCGAGAGAGAATCGCATTTTGATTGAATTGGTAGAAATATTGGGAAAGCTTAAAAACTTAGAAGGTTTTGAACGAGAGTGAGTTTGGGATTGAAAGACTGATTGCTTTGTGATTGATGCTTGGATGATATTCTCATCAGGGCAAGATTTGAGGCCCTCTTTATAGCTTTTCCAAGACCCCTGTTCCTAACTGTTCCTAGAAGTCAATCACGAAACGACTAAGGTGTCAATTCGAGGTTGCCATGGGTCTGCGACACAGTTGTTACATGATGGGGTGTTTGGACATTCTTGTAGGAGAGGAGAGTCTCCATCGCCATACAGCTCCCCACTGAAAGGCCCCATACACATAATAAGGAAGGCTGAAAGCATCCCCTGGCAGATATCCTCACCAGAGCTAGAGCGTGTAGGGTACTTCCCCTTCCATGATAGCACAGTCTGCAAGATGGCGCGATCATACCACGATGGACTTAGTTAGCGCTGCGAACGTTGACACTAACCGTGCTGTTCCTGAGAATCAGAAGTCAGACAAGTAAAACCAGGAAAGTAGAGCTCTTCAGGGTGTGAGTCCCCCACTTCAAGCTCCATCAGAACGCCAAAACGGAGTTTAATCCAATTGCGCTAGGCGGGAAAACTGTTCCGAACAAATGCACCCAGGGCAACACTCCCTTGGAGGTAGCAATAGGGAGTGGCTCACGAGTGCCTGATTGCAACGAGTGTGCATCCTTTCCATGGACTGCAGGCGAGCGCTCCGAGGAGATGCGAGTAGCTTAACGAAATGATTCCGAGAAAGTGTGGCCCAAAACTTGGTGATGTCAACGATATATCCTTTCAAGTATGTGGCATTTTGCCGGATTGCGAGGGTTCGACAGGTGTCATCGAGCTGCATGGACGAATGCACACTCAGGGGTGGAGCTCCTTGCAGATGAAGAGGGTATGATCAAGCAAGACGAAGAAGCAGTCGGTGGAGATTTACTAGCTGAGGGTGTTGCTGATCGCAGAGATGCTGATCGCGTCGTGATGCAAACGGGTTTAGGGCTGTCCGGATGCTACCGTCCAGCCGCTGACCAATGGGATGCCCTGGAAATATCTATCCGCTGAATCATCGAGATAACCGGCTGCCAAGACGGAACTCTTATTATTCCGATTGCCGACAGACACGAGAATGTCAAGCCACGCGGGAAAATCATTCATCCGTCGTTTTGACCCTTCCTGCCCCTTAAGGCAGTTCCAGCAAGATCATGCACGTGCGGGCAGCAACCTTGAATTTTTGATTACTCTTCCAATGTTCCTGCAGGAGTCTCGTGCCGCCGGAACATCGCATGATATTTCCAATCTGTCGCAATCTTCAATTTCTAAGGCCTTATTCATCCCCACTAATTCACCCTTCTTAGTGCGCAAGATTCCGCTTTACTATTAATAATGCACCCACTGCGCTGACAAAGGCAACTTTACCCCGGCGCTACGCCAATCTATTGGCTGAGATTGGCGGCATTCGCAATTATCGGTCATCTTATGCCGTAATGCCGACACCCGACACACACTTCGGGGCCAAAATAGCGGGGTGCAAAGGTGTTCCGATGTTTGTTGACCGAGTAGGAGAGGCGTTCACTCTGTTATAAAGCCACCGCTGTGCCCAGGGGTCCTGGTCTTCATCCTTTCAGCAATCGATTAACTCCAATTAACTCCAACTCCTTTCTCACGCGTCAATCTCGTCACAATGGGCTCTACTCAGGTTGAATTCAAGAACCCCGCCACCTCCACCATCCTGGAGGCGGTCAAGGCCCGTCGCACTTACTATGCGCTCAAGGGCGAGAGCCCCATCTCTGATGAGGCCATCCAGAACATCGTTGAGACTTCCGTCCTGCACGTGCCCAGCTCCTTCAACACCCAGACCTCGCGTGTCGTCCTCCTGCTGAAGGAAGAGCACAAGAAGGTCTGGGACATCACCCTCGCCGCTCTCGAGGGACTCGTTGCCGCCGGCGCCGTCCCCAAGGAGGCCTTTGAGAACTCGACCAAGCCTAAGATCGAGAGCTTCCGTGCTGCCTACGGAACTGTATGATCTCCATGTGGATTTTTTGCCTTGTCAATTGCCAATGCTAACCGGGAATAGGTCCTCTTCTTCGTCGACTACGAGTCTCTGGCTCCCATCAAGGAGAAGTTCGCCATCTACGCCGACAAGTTCGACCCCTTCGCCTTGGAGTCGAACGCCATGTCGCAGTATCTCGGTATGTAAAACCATATTCTTCTCCCTGTTGAATTAGCTTAGAACCATTCGACTGACAACTTACTCCAGTCTGGACCGCCCTCGAGTCCGAAGGTCTCGGCGCCAACCTCCAGCACTACAGCCCCCTGATCGACGAGGACATCCAGAAGGAGTGGAACCTCCCCGCTTCGTGGAAGCTCGACGCCCAGCTTGTCTTCGGTACCCCTGCCGGCGAGCCCGGCGAGAAGGCCTTCGCGCCTCTTGAGGACCGCTTCAAGGTCTTCGGTAAATAAGCATGATTTGATGATGAAGTCTTTATTAGCGTGATCCACTTTAGAATATGTGAATAGACCAACGTGGATGATTTATGATTATACTTGACGTAGTCTGTAAGACTGTCGGAGTGAGATGCCTATGGGATTGGTTTGTAGGTCTTGTTGGTCACGAGATACGGACACTTGGCCGGTTTACCCATGTAGACTCCGCAAGATCAGTACGGCATTGTCGTGGAAATTCAAAGTATGTTGTGGACGATTCGGATCACAATACAGTGCAGTGATTCACTGTCGCAGTTTGTCATACCAAATAGGTGTAACAAGGCTACAACTGCAGTAGAAACCGGTTCACTTCATTAAGCGCGACCAAGGAAGGGTCGACATAAGAACTGGGACACAATTTGAACCATTCACGAACGCAACAGCAGAAGCCAATGCCATGTGGGATCTATTATTAGGATCAAGCTTTATTAGTCCAGTCCCTAGCGAAACCAAGAAGGCGTAGAATGGCAAAACAACTGGACCTGTAGACCATTCCTCAAGGTTCCATAGTTCAGGAAGATTAATCTTAGTTATCATTCACTGTAATTACTGTCATAGCACTACTCACTCTTAAGTAGACATAAGAAAAACCTAGTACGATGTAAGAGAACAGAGTGCCAAGCAATATGCAAACATTAACCAAGGCAGCAATGAAAACTCTTTCAATCCCAGAAAAGAAGCAATCTACGCATCGGAAGACATCCATGTACTCCGTACGGATTGTTTCATGTCCTTTCATGGGATCTACAAATTCGAGGCAACAAGAGTGCGGCACAAGCCTAGCTTAGCGGCGACCAAACCCCAAAAGTCCCTCGTATTGGCCCACGAATGGTCCCGATCCACCAACATACATGAAAATTCACCCCAGGGGAACAGTCATGGGTGGGTTAAAATTAGGGCCACTCCACTGTCCTTTGATCGGGCCCACAATATACGAGTAGTTTTTACTTGATTTGGTGATGTTCGTATAAAAGAAGCATGTCTAAATCGTCAAATAGTGTATGTTGACAATATAAGTCTGGGTTGATTCCGTGCTGGATATTCGAATGCTTGTGTCTGATTCTCATAAAATACATTCTCTCTCTACTGTCAATCAGAATTAACAATGGATTTCGAATTCCATCCTGGCGTAAACGGCTCAAGTCCCTGGGTTGAATTCTACCCTTACAATCCCTCCAAAACAGCCGGCTACGCTTTCGTAGCGATCTTCGGTATCTCGACCGTTATACATCTCGTCCTCATGTTTCCCTATCGGGCCGCCTATTTCATCCCGTTACTCCTTGGCGGAGTCTGTACGTTCCTATCTACCTACTATTGTCTAACCACCACAACACAACGCTAACCTCCTCGATCTAGGCGAAACATTCAGCTACTACGGCCGCGCCTGGTCACACAATAACCGGACCCTAATATCCTCCTGGGCTCTCCAGCAAATGCTTATCATGTGTGCCCCTCCACTCGTCGCCGCAACCATTTACATGATCTTGGGACGAATCATCCGCGCTTGCAACGCAGAGCACCACTCCAGCATCCGCACGAAATGGCTCACGTTCATCTTCGTGACAAACGACGTGCTTTGTTTCCTAACGCAGATCTTTGGTGCCGGGGTCCAGGTCACAGGCGACCAACACATAATGGCCATCGGTGTGAAAGTGGTGTTGGTGGGTTTGATCTTCGCGCTGGTCGTCTTCGCCGTGTTTATCTGGGTGGCGTTTAAATTCCACCAGCGGCTGAAGCGCGATCCCACGCCTGTTGCATATCAGAATGGCGGACTACACTGGGAACGGTATATGTGGGCGATCTACGTCTCGTGTGTGGCGCTGATGATCAGGAACTTGGTACGAACAATTGAGTTTGGGGCGTCGGATTCGGATCTGGGGAAGAAGGAGGTATATATTTATATTTTTGACGCGGTGATGATGTTCATTTCGATAGCTGTGTTGATTATCTGGCATCCGGGGCTGCTCATTAAGAGGTTGAGGGCGATGAATAAGGCGAATGAGATGTACGGGCCGTTGGCTGGGGAGACGCAATCGGCAGATGTGCCGTTGACGGGGTTTCAGGCGCAGAGAGATTGAGGGGGGAAATGGCGGATGAGCTGTCACTCTTCTGTGGAAATCTTGTATACGCTTTCTTTCACTTTGCGGTGACTTTCATTTTAGTAGTAGATCGTGGGCTATTCGGAGGCGTCTCGGAGTTATGCCAGTTGTCATTAATTCTTATAACTTATCGGTGTCTTAAATATTTCTTAACTTCCTGATACAGATAGAAGAAAGCTTTTTGTATAAGGCTCCAATATTCTAGCATTAAGAGTTAACTTCTGTTCTTTTTATCTGCAATGAAAGGCAACCGGAATATACTAATAGGCAATATTAGAAGGAGCAAGATTGAGGACTAAGGATTGATGCGGTATTCCTTAAGGAGAATGTTGATTTTGTTAGAAGTCTTCGGTAGAAAAGATAGTTGAGTGATAATGGTAGCTCTCCGTAAGGAGTGAGCTCAGAGTATGGTATAAAATTGATACAGGGAAAGATGATAAACGAGAAGAAGCAATGACCTAACCACAAATCGTGTTCACAGGCCACTCGATCCACTGATGATATTCCACCCCCAAAGACGAGCGAATTCCTGAAATGACATGCACATCCCATCCCTCCATGAACCACGAGGGGGCCATGTATTTCAGCATCACGCTCCAATGTGCTAGAATGACCAAGGCAAAAGAATCTTTCTTCTCCAATCGCTGAACGAATGTCTCTTCCAGCCGATATACCCACCCAATGACCGCAGGCATCAAATTTGCCCCGTCATTCCTGATGCTGCGAATATTGTACATTTCTTCGAATGAGGTCATGAGCGTCTCCATTGCTGAGAGGTACAACTCCTTCTCGGACTCTGGGACGTTCTGGTCTAGAAACCGGCGCGCGGCATTCAGATGAGTCTGCTGCTCGTTTAACTCGGTTTCTAGCGCAGGAGTCATTTTCGGCGATCCTTGCTTCCCGGGATCCAAAATCCCAGAGAAGATTTCGACACGTCTAGAGATTACGATGTACCGAACGCCACGCATCAGGACTAGCCATTCCGATTGCCCGGTTTCGCTGAAAACGAGGTATTCGCCCCGACGCGGGCCGCGGGCAAAATAGATGAAGCAGATAAGTACAGCGGAGAGATAAATCATCTGGCAGTTGTCGAAGTCCAGCTTGGATAGGATATTCGTGACAGATCGAACCCCGAATGTGAAGTGACTATCAGCCTTCGTGACGTAATCATCGTGACGGTCGGGGTTCTCGTATGCGAGATGTAAAGCGGTGATGGCTAACGTAAGATGGTGGATTGGGGGGAAATTGATCCCAGAACGAGGCACATGCACTTGCCAGATATCTCTATGTTTGTTTGATAGATCTCCAAAGGTGGAGTAGGTGGTGGTGATGAAGTGATGAAAGAGTTCTAGATCCGCGAAAGATATTCCGCCGCTTGCGTGGTGGCTTGCGGACAGATCGCATTGAACTCCGGTAGATGTAGAATCCGCCAGTTCATTTTCGTTGTCACATGGAGATTCCGCCAGGGGCTGGTATTTAGAGGGTTTAAAGCGAAATCGCCGAGGGGGAGTCGGATTATTGGAAGCGGCCGGGGAACCCTGAGAGAGTAGGACCGCGGGAGCTGAGAAGTCGCATTCGACTGAATGATGCAAGCAGTTGGTGCATGTAGGCTTTTTCTCGTCGCACTGGAACGTGTCAGCTTGATCGTCTGTAGACAGACAGAGTGCAGAACAGAGTAAGTGAAGAATTCTGTCCATATTTTCCAGAAGGAAATATGTATACTGGAAAGTCAATGAAATAGAAAGGGGGCGGGCTACAAAAAAAGGTAGGATAGTCCGCGAAGACTCACCTTGACACGTCGCTTCTTACAGTTCCTACACCCTAAGCGAGATTTATGATGTGATCGCCTAGAGCGAATCTTGTTCTGCAGCTCAGCCTCCATGTTAAGGAATTTTTGCGTACTCGTTTTTCCGAACGTCCTCGGAGGCGATTTTTGCCGGTGGATCAGCGCCCGTCACGTGTAAATGGAGGCCTTAGGCAGCAATCCAGTTGGGGGTGGCGAGATCATAGTAAGATTGGCAGCAGGCTCAGGACCGGGCGAACGACTTCAAACTGGATCTCCTACAATTTAACATGGACTGATTCATTGTGTGTCTTCGGCATGGCCAAGAATGGACCTGGGGGTGCTGCCATGATCAGCGTTGGTATGAACTGTTTCAGAGCATAAAATTAGTGATTAGGCCACAGGATTTCGAGGAAAGAGGGGTTTCACTGCCATCTTATGAGTGGTCTGGTACTCGTCGGAAAAGCTCCACGAATATCATTTAACTATTAGCTATCTTTAAGAGGGAATCCACTACGGAGTACTAACAAAGCCCTTACGGGAGCCACTTGTGCGAAAATTTTGAAATTTAACACCTTTTCACCAACCACTCTTCTCGTCTACTGATACACAATTTCTTATAACTGTATATACCACTCTACCAGCATATCAAGAATGTTAGTGCGGACATAACTCAAACTGCGGCTTAGTTTGTATATCTCAATCAGGGTAGTGTTGCCCTGTTTGAGAAAGAAGGACTTATCGTATTTTAGAGCTAATTCAATGTTCTTTACAGATTTCACTTCGCTCCTCGTAGAAATTATCTAAGGCATGCGTTAAGGATTCACTCTCGGAAGGTAGGCATATGTGCTTGCCCTGGACTGGCTAAGTAGCCCCATGTAGATGATGAAGTTGGCGTCCTTGGAACGAGGTTCGTTCCGCTATGTGAACGAGCCATCCATGATTCCAAAATATTGACCAAACACCCCGACACTCCATTGACAAGCAGTACCAGATGTCGGCATTTCCGGGGCCTCGTCACTAGTCACAGGCACCAAGGGGGCGTTACCTCCAGCAGTGACAGCCGCAGCATTGGCCAGTTCCCACATGCGAGATAGGTGCTCAGAAGACCCAGCGTCAGGGGTTGCCGTATCATGATAATTTGAGACCGGAGTCGGCATTATAGTCTCGGGGCTATCTCGCATAATCAATGCCTGGCTGTAAAGCTCCTCGATGTTTCCCCAGTGTCGACACCGATTCACTTCTTCGTGCTGTTTCCAGTAGCCATAGACATCTTCCACAATTTTCCATGCTGACTCGTCCGGTGTGTTGGATAGTGTGAAGCAAAGATCGAGTAAGAGACAGGCGAGTGCTTCCCATTCAACATAAGTCTGGAACAGCCAAAGCCACTGTTTTCCATTTTCATAGCCTCGTAATGCACGCGCATGTTCCAAGACGTCTACGCAGACACCGCGGAAGTTACCTGGCAGCGCAATGTCATTTTGTCCCGGCCCAGCGTGAGGCTTTGCAACCGTTAGCTTGAAGCGCGCGAGAATAAGCCGAGTCGAGACAATCGTGATGAAATCAAGAGGAGTTCTACTATCGCAGTGAGATAGATATCGCTTTTCGATGCTCCCCTGGAGCTCGTCGATTAATTTGCATTTTTCCAACGGCGATCGCAGATAATATTCATTGTCGCGGCAGAACTGATCGGAGAAGACGATTTGACGGCCAAAATAGCTAACTTCCAACCGGATCAAGCTGAACAGCATCTCAGTCTTCCCAATTTGCGGTTGAGGAGCCCTACCCATATCTGGGTCCAGATTGGCATCGCTGACATTGGTTGGTAACTTGGTATCGAATAGGGATTCCAAAATGCAGGGTGCTGACCCGTCGCTTTCAGCAGCTCGGGTGTCGATGATGCATATGTGCCACCAAAGTCGACGTCGCATTTCAACTTCGAATGGTGAGAAACCTTTATTCTCTCCGTCGTGGTGAAGGTCCATTTTTACAGCCATCCCGATGGCGAGACCCATTAACTTGCGCACATTAGGCCCATCTTTGTCTCGCCTGCCACATATCTAATTATCCTGTTAGAGCTGTTCGGTGAAACCCGGTTCCTGACCACTCACTAGATAAATAAGAAAAGCTTGCAGAATAGATAAATCTAATGAGTTGACAAGGTCCGCTTGTAGAAGGGCATTCTCGACGCCCGACCGGTATCTTCCCAGGTTAGCCTTTCTCACTATTATAGTCTAAGAAAATGGTGGAACTACCCCTTCAGCAAATCTTCCTTATCTTCCTCAAACTCTGCCTGACACTCCGCCGCATCCAATGTCAAAACAGTGGAGTAGTAAATTGCAAACATCAAACATTCTGCTGGGAAGTCATGATTTTTGCGTCCTCGAACCAAGTTCATTACTTGCTTCTGTATCGTGGGGGCATGGAATATCTTTAATAATGGATCTACATTCTCCAGGTACTTTTGCCATAGGAATGGTACGGTCACCGGAGAGGGTCGCAAATACTCGAGACTCGATACAGGTTCCGACTTAAACAACGAGCGGAGTTGACTATCATTTCCGGCAACGTTTCCTAGGTCAGAGTTCGTAGGCGTAGGCGAGACTGAATTCCCGGAATCATTGCATTGCATAGCATCCTGCTCGGAATTCTATCTCTCAATCAGCATATTTCATTCTCATTGATATGATCTCAGGCCAAATACCTCTCGAGCCAAACCTTCTGAAAGAAGTGCAGTGTCATCTTGATGAAGGACATTGGGGGGATAGTTGCGCCCACAATTGTCGCTGAACACGTTCGAAGAACGGCCAACATTTGCCAGCAGCAAGTCCCTGACTTGCGAGAAATCTCGTGTCAGAGTATCTAGAGCATTCTCGATCCTCTCGACGCGCCCTTCGAGATCGGCTCCAGGTCTTCCTGGACTCGGACTGGGCGATCGCGTCCGCTCCGCTCTCCGCGGTGGATAGGAGCATTGCACTCGGACTTTGACGCAATAAGCACACGGAAATGATCTATCGCACTTGATCTTCCGTCGACTGCATTCGAGGCACGATCGGCCTGATGCAATTACTCTCCGAGGCATTTATTATTAATGATCTGTGTGGAGGTTGGGTGTGAGAATGTGAACGTCGTTGGTTTCCCGGTGTGATGGGTGATGGGTTGGTATGAGGAATAATGGTCGATTAGTTGACCCAGAAAAGTTCTACAAATATGGTCTGTTGGAGACGCAATCTCGGAAGGCGATTGGTTGGAGCGGAGAGCGGAGGGAAAGTCCGTATTTCTAATAAGCAATTTAGTGCCTTTGTTAGTTGGGGGCCGCTAGCTAAGCATCAGTGGAGAGATCGAACATAGGAAGTATACAACTTCGAGATGTGATCAGTAGAGACAAGAAGGTATAAATAGAGCTGAGTTGCTCTCGATTGTTCTCTTTGAAATACAAACCAAAAGTCGCACCTGCCTCCCAATTCATTACTCCATCAATTCAAAGCTTTGGCTATTCTAACCCAAATCACATATCAAGATGTCTGTCGGATACAAGAACATTGCCATCGTCGGTGTACGTGAACAGTCTCCTGCCTCCAAAAGCCCCATCTCCTAACACCTTACAGGCCAGCGGCAGCATCGGCAAAATCATTCTCAACGGCCTGATCGAGTCCTCCCAGTTCTCTATCACAGCTATCACTCGCAAGGAAAGCGAGGCTACCTTCCCTGCCGGCGTCACCGTTTGTAAGACCGACTTCTCGGAATCCGACCTGGCAGAAGCCTTCAAAGGCAAGGATGCTGTCATTTCCACAGTCGGTGCTGCTGGATTCAGCGAACAGAAGAAGCTTGTCGACGTAGCTCTTAGCGCCGGAGTCAAACGGTTCATCCCGTCCGAGTTCTCTGCCAGCAGCCAAAACGAGATTGTGCTGAAGCTGTTGCCTCTGTTTGGTCAGAAGACAGAGCTTCTTAACTACTTGAAGACCAAGGAATCTGAGGGACTCAGCTGGACTGGTATCGTTCCGTCGCTTCTGTTTGACTGGGTATGTGCTCAACACTTTCTCTGAAACTCGATAATCATGTCTAATATTTCGGTTATAGGGTCTCGAGAATGGCTTCCTGGGATTTGATATCCCCAACCGCAAGGCCACGATCTGGGATGACGGAAACAAGAAATTCACCCTTACCAATGAGAAGCAGCTCGCACAGGCTGCGGTCTCTACCCTTCAACGTCCCGAGGCAACTAAGAACCAGTACCTCTTTATTGCGTCAGCCGAGACCAGTCACGGGGAGATCCTCGCCACTTTGGAGGAATCCACGGCTGCCAAGTGGGAGGTCACGGAGACTACTACAGACCAAGAGGTGAATCATGGAATGCAAAAGCTTGGAGCTGGCGATTTCAGCGGCGCGTTCAACTTAGTCCGAGCTACCTCCTTCGGCAACACCCCTGGTTTGAATGCAAACTATATCAAGGATGAGAAGCTTGGGAACGGTTTGTTGGGATTGGAGTTGGAAAGCGTCAAGGGGACAGTGAATCGTGTTGTGAAGAAATAAGAATAGAACTAGGCCAAATAGGTAGAGTTTAGTTTACTCTTTGCTAAGTTCAAATACACATGACTACAAGGTGCGGAGAACAGGGCTTTCTGTCTGCCTAGGTGTATCTAAGCTACAGGAAAAGAGATAATAGAATAGATACCTGTATTGTTCAAGCTGTAGTAGGTGCATGCCTCCCAATACTTTCTTGATGGATCCCGACGATACCATCTAGCTCGCTGAGTGGAGCACTTTGATCATGTCCAGACATCCACAAGTCAAGTGGAGTTGATTCGCGCTGGGGGTGTCGCTTGTATGTAAACTCTTCCATTAGAGATCTTGCTCCCTCCCGGTTGATAGAATGTTGCCAAGGACGAATTTGACCAGGAAACTCAACATGCTCGAGATCAACAACCATCGCTTTGCTGTAGCCACGATCCTTGTCTTCACATAACAAAAAGTTATCCAGTTTTTGGTCTCGGTACAAAGCACCATGTGTCGAAAGTTTATGGAAAGCTTCCTCCAGGTAAGCTTTTAGTGAATCCTCTGGGACCTCGTAGTTGCTGTGAGCCAGATCATTCAATGTAATTCCCGCAATATCCGATAGGATGAGTGCAGGTTGCCCATCAAAATAACCCCGACCGTAAAAATGTGGAATCACTTCTCCCTGGAGCTTCTTCAATCTGTGATAAGCCCTCTCCTCGTCTTCAAACTCTTCTTCCCATTCATCCTTTTGCTGTTTAGCAATAATAGACGTCACTGTCTTTGGAATTGTATGTCGATATGAGCCGAACTCGAGCTTGACACGATGCACTGTTCGGCGTCGATCTAAGAGCTCAACCCCGGTTACAGAGATCTCGTGACCATCTAGCTCGATAGTCTATCAGATTCAGCTTGATCCAGTGTTTAGACCAACACGAAGAATATATCTTACCTGAGAAGATTGGGGTGTTGGGAATAAATTAGACATGATTAAATGAGCGTGAAGGATGTTGAGGAAGAGCGGGGGGAAAGGAAGAGCCTTAACAGCGAGATGATTGTAAGCCCAGCAGTCATGTGGCTGGTCAGACGCAAGGGGTGGGATAATGTTAAGCCCCCATAAGTATTTCTTCCCTTCATAGCCCTAATAATAGAAACTGATTTTCACATACGACCATAGGGTGTGGAAAATAGGGCTTCCCGTCCGCTCAGCCGTACTCAAGCCACACGCCGGCAGGTTAGTAGTTGGGTGGGTGACCACCAGCGAATCCCTTCTGTTGTATGTTTTTGTGTTTTATTTGCTTTTTTCTTATTCTTATAATGTTGTTTCTTGACCAACTGCCCAATTTAATCCGAAAACATATATCAAGATGGTTGCATGGCGCCGGAGGGGGTATATCATTCTGGACGTCTAACTATTTGATATCGTACCGCGTTGTATATTTATCGGCCACTCAACGTGCGATCACCTATATATCTTACAACCGGACGAAACAATTCAGTCCTAGTTGCTTTTGAGTTGATGATTGGTAGAGCGATAATCAGAATTTTTGACTTTTCGGGCAATTTAAAAGGCAGAGTACTATCTAGACGCTTTCAACAGGATTCGTATGCTTTCTCGGTCTGTTACTATCCCCAAAGGTAAATTAGAATTAAATGGATTTCAATACTCTTCAGGTAACTGTATATCTCTAAGCCTAGTGTCGTCTTCAATCATATTGATACTAAACAATAGATTAGAGTAGTAATATATGGGAGTTTCCGTTGTTTCTGTTTGGCAAACACTAGGTAGTACTATTTATTATCACGGAAAACTCCGGATTGTCTTTGCTCTATCCAAGCAACACGTTTCACATACACTCATATAAAGAGGAATCACCCCAAGAACCTGTCTTCTAATATACTGACTCTTTTCTATCCGAGATCTATTCGGCATGCTCCCATCGAATTTCACAGAATCGCATTGCTACCATTCTCTGGAAAATGATTGGCATTAGCCACAATGAGCAACAACCAAAGGCTGAAACGGCAAAAGGCCAATAAACCAAAATTGGGATTATTGGAGACAATGACAGATTTTGTCACCTTTGAGATAGGCGCAATGAATCCTGCATTTGTGAAGCGCAAAAACTCTAAAACCCCGATGACGGACCTATTAAATATGCCTCTTGAAGAGCTGCTTGATCAAGCTGATTTAGATCCGGATGTTCAGGACACTATTATTCAAGAAATCAAGCAGCATGGTGCAGAGAGGTTTCATTTCTGTCAAAGAATTGTGGATTGTCCCGATGGTAGGTTATTCAAGTTCATCGGTGACTTTGACAACGATGACCTCTTTGAGAACCTTCCAACCTGCATGGCGACGATCACATTCCGTCTGCCGTCAACCTTCTGGGACATGGTATCTTTCAATCAAAATAAAAACCTATTCAATGCAGATCGTCTTGTCATTGAGGTAGTACGAGATGGTCAATTGAATTCGAGGGATGTCTCCATCAGGGAACACGAAATTCTGGTAGAGCTTTACCTTGACCACCCCGTTAGATATCATTTCATTGATACTGTCTCTGTATATCTTGCAAAGGGTGGTCAAGTTGTGAAACCGATCGTGAGTTTATACAATACAACTAAAGTTCACCTCATGAACATGCTCGTGAACTTTCATAACCCGGTTATCAAGCTCATATTTGAGATGGACGCAGGGGTTAATCCAGAGAGTCTCAAACAGGTTCTCTGGGAAATCAGGCGGACTATTATCTGGCGTCTGAGTACCGGAAACTGGTATGAAAAGTATCCTCTGATTGTTGGAGCATGGAGTTACTTTCAAGTTTCGTTACAACCCATGCAGCGCAATTTTCATGCTGTCTTTCATGCTTTGGATATAGCGCTTATGCCTCTTTTAGCTCTTCCTCCTGAGGCTCATCCTAACATTACCAAGTTCCCGTTCACGCTGGAACGACCTTACAGACTTCCTAATTGCCCACAATTTGAAGGCCCGTTGACAATTGAACGTCTTAATCGTGGCCCTGTTATTCGGCCTTGAAATTCATGCATGAGACAATGCTTCTTTGGTGGTGCTTTTTTCTCATCTCCTCTCTATATGTTTCTATCCAGGTTATCTAAATTCTATTTGATTTCATTTTCTCTCTGTTTGTTTTGTTGCCCACCACCTTTCCTTTAGTTGTGGTTCCCTCAAAGCTTTCTTCGTCATTATTCTTATTTTTAATCGCCTTATCCCCTTGCCAGTCGTCTGTTCACTCCTTGATGTCACTTTACGGTATTCCGATCCTTTTTAATGAAGCTTGACATACTTTCCTAAACAGCCTATTTGTGTTTCTTATAAAAGAAATTTATCAATTCCACTTGGGCCAGAATTATGTTTTTACATTTGTTGGGAATTTATATAAATCAAAGACTGATATATACAGATTACCTGGAAATCAACGTATTTTGACTGCTACCCATTTGCGCAGGTTCGATTGTTGATGAAAGTAGTTGGCGATATGTAATTAACTAAAATGACAGTTAATTTACTTCTCCAAATACGTTCGTATGCCTTTATTTTACTGGTCCTGATTAACAGAGCGTATCAAGTCCATTTTCGAGTAAACGAGTTTTCTCAAATGTGGAAGACTACTTTACCAACGGGCGAATTTCTAGGCGTCCCCCTATTTGTAACACTTCGAACCAGCTTCTATAATAGAATGGAGACGATCTTTTAGTTTGCTACATTACATCATAACTGGCCATAAGGTGATATAGCATACCCGTATGCTCTAACAACAAACAACTCCACAAGTGCGGAATGTATGTACTGCAGATTGCTGTCCAGACGGATTAAGTGACCAAATACGCGGTACACAGTATTAATATTGCGGAAAATCTCAAAACTTTTTCGTATCGGAGAGGCGAGAAAACTTAATTTCTTACAACAAAGGACAGGGGTCTCGAGTCTCGACAGCGAAATGGTGCCTTTACCCATCTTCTTTTGACCCTCACGGCCTCGGACGCACTGTCGGAAAACGGCTATACATTGCCGCCCGACCTCAAAGTATGAGCTATCAGATCGGATATCTTAGCCATGTTAGGAGATCTGGTCGAGCATCGGTACTTTTCGTGCTAAGGCAATTTGTCCCCGTGCGGTCACCTGAGCGGCACACGGGGCGTCCTCCGTGGCACCGGGATTATAAATGGCGATCTATCTATGGTCACTTGGAGTCTTGAGACTACAACTATTACTTCCAAATCTATGAGCACTATGGATAAATTCGACGTCGCAGTTGTTGGGCAGGGTGTCCTTGGAAGTGCCGCGGCATACTACGCCGCTCGAAAAGGCACCAAAGTCGTTGCGTTTGAACAGTTCGAATTTGGCCATGTTCGCGGTGCCTCCCACGATACATCGCGGATTGTTAGAACTTCCAACCACGCCCCCGAGTATGTCTCCCTCGCCAAATCTGCATATGAGGACTGGGCCGACGTGGAGAAGGCATGCGGTCAAGAACTATTGACCATAACGGGTGGCGTTGTTTTTTTTACCGAAGATTCACCCCAAACGGCCAGTGACTTCACAGGAAGCTTGGAAGCTCATGGCGTTCCTTACGAGCTTCTCAACGCCGAAGAAGTCAAGAGACGTTGGCCACAATTCGAGATTCCGGATTCAGTCCAGACAGTGTACACGCCTGACACGGGAATCGCTCATGCTGCGAAATCAGTCAGCGCTTTTCAATATCTGGCTCGGTCGCATGGGGGTACATTGAAAGACAACACAAGGGTGGTCCGCATTACTCCAACTCCCACCGGATCTATCATAGATACATCAAAGGGCTCCTTCAACGCGACCAAGGTGATCTTGGCTACGGACGCATGGGCAAATGAACTTCTTGGGCCTCTCGGCGTCCATATCCCGCTCTCTGTCATGCAGGAACAAGTGACATATTTCAAGCCCTCTGATGCTGCTCTCTTCGAAGCCGATCACTTCCCCGTGTGGATTTGGAAAGGAGACAAGTCCTTCTACGGCTTCCCTTGCTACGGTGAGCCGACTATCAAGGCCGGACGGGATACCTCAAACAACTTCATGACGCCAGCGCAGCGAACATACGTGCACTCGCCTGAGCTCTTTGATCAATTAACCACGTTCATGAAGGGGTTTGTTCCTGATGAACATCGTCAACCACTCCGCACTATCACATGTCAGTACACCATCACGCCCGATCGGCAATTCATTATCAGTCCTTTGAAGCGGCATCCTGATGTTATACTGGGACTGGGTGCTGCTCATGCCTTTAAGTTTGCCCCGGCTTTTGGCCGTGTGCTGGCGGAGTTGGCAATTGATGGCAAGACCAACGAAGATATTTCGAAGTTTGGTATTCCAAAAGTGGTCATTGATACTAGCAAGATCTGATCTGCTAGTGATAAATACATGTCAATGGTTTACAAAACAGATCCCGGCTCACTTGATTTGTCCTTATCTTTATCCATGGCACTTTTCGGCATTTATAGATCGTAGCTCGTCAATTGATATGAATCTATCAGGTGTCTCCAACAATAGGAAGATGGTCAATATAACTTAAATCAAAGTAAAGTCCACTTCTCTATTGTTTTAGCTGTATTTTTCACGGAGAAGCGTATTATAAAAATCTCCTTCCTCCGGACTCGAAAGATATTGTTGCCTCTTTCCAGCCCCGACAGGATTTTTATTGAAAACTCAGCCACCCAATCAATCCATGTAAAAGGTTTTTGAATTTCAATTTTTCATAAAAACAAAAAAAAAAAAAAAAAAAAAAAAAAAAATTAAAAAATGAAAGTGTATATAACAGCCAGTATTCGCTGGTTCACCCACCCAACTACTAACTGACCGGCGTGTGGTTTGTGTGCGGTCAATAGGCGGGTGGGTGCCTTTAAACCGGCGACCCTGGCGATCGCTGGCGCCGTCGCGCGACCTCCCTGGGTGCGCTTTAGATGGCGTATGCGTCGTCCGGCGACTCCCGGCGACCGGCGCGACCTGGCTGACTACCCCCACTTCTTACCTCTGAACAGGGAAAACACAAGAAGTCATTAGTTTATCACCCCGCCTCCTGAAACGGGCGGCTTGAACTAGCTGCGCCTCTGGTTAATGAGGCAACAGAATGACACCTAGTAATGTGCTAAGCATAATGGACATGTGGCGGCTGGGAATAATCATTCACATGTACATCACTTTTGGCAGCTCTCATCTCTCTATATTCATGGCGAGCATTCCGTAGACTTGCAGATAAACTTTCAGATGCAGATTTAAATCCCTATAGCATCGGATATAGGTCTAACTAATCCGAAGCTCATATTGTATATCGACTATCAGTTTTACAAAAGTAACCCGGAGAAAAGAAAACAATATTGCTCTAGATGACATCATTGACAAATATATTCAGATTTAGGCCTTTTTCCTAAATGAGTATATTTACCAACATGCTTCTTTATTTACTTTATATAATTCTTCAATTTATACAGGAGTAATCATAAATTAGACTACACATGAGTATAATACATAGCGGGTGTAGGTATCTTTGTAGACTTCTATAGACCGGATAAACGGCTCAGAAGTGTAGATTTCAAATGATTGAGTTTGAAACGCATGATATATAGAACCTATGGTTGCTTTAATTCGACATCTTGGTACCTTTTTCTCAAGTTATCGACCAGGGAGGGGGTTGATTCTGTGTTTTAATCTTGATAGCCACGATAATATCAGGCTTCTTGCTCAATTTGGATAACGATGCTTCAAAAAGCTTCTGTTTGGAGCTTGATTATTTACCTTATGTGGGGTTATGCGGGGTACATTGTTATGAAATATGGTTAAAGTTGACATCTTTAGTCTCCTCATGTTTTGAATAAAGCTATTAATGCGCTTGTAGGGGCCATACATATTGTGTCTAATAGCGAAACGCTAGTATCACCATTTTGGCGCAAGTTAGATGGTCTGATTCCGCTGGAGATCATTCGCAAATCAGTTCTTATCCTACCGGGAGCCAACGATTCAATAATGTTCTTGATATATATAGGTTCTCCTATTTCCGACCTGAGACTGAAACCTTCCCCTTGGCAAGCATATAAGCTACCCTCACCTGATCTTATCCCCGCATGATTTCCGTGCGTTCAGCCCTGTGAGGGTAAAGAATCTACCAGCCGTATTAAAAAGCACAGTAGTATTTTTTCTCTGGCATCCTTTACGGCTAGGAGTTACCATTTAACGTTGTCATCAACATAGACGACTTGGCAGAGAAACTGGCAAACACCCGCCTAAACGATCAAGAAAAGTTGCTGTATGGGGGGGGGGGGGGGGGGGGGGGGGGGGGGGGGGGGGGGGGGGGGGGGGGGGGGGGGGGGGGGGGGGGGGGGGGGGG